GAGGAACTATACTTACCAATGAAACTCCGTTTTAGAAAATCTCTGGACCAAGGGATAGTTCCCCCTAGATGGGAAATATGCAAATGTCTTCCTCATTAAAAGAAAAGGGCAGAAAAACTCACCAGAAAACAGCCGTCCGATCAGCTTGACATCACACATCTGAATTTACCTGATGGCCACTGACACTCTAGTGGCCTCGACGAGGACAGGAAGTCGGAGGCTTGTCAAAAGTTCGCCTTTTTGACCTGAATATTTTTTAAGCTGGATTTTAAAGTTCAACAGAGTTTTTGGCATTTACGGCTTCGGCGAGTAGCCGGTTCCATGGGTTTCATTGAGTTCATAATTCATTGTGTTGGGGGGACAGGAAGCCAGAGTGTATTCATACACGTTAGGTTTATATCCAGATTCCAGTCCCTCCCATGGTTGATTTTCTGACCCCTCCCGGGATGCAACCCCACGACAAGCTGACGGGTAGGCGGTTCCATGGGTTTATAACCCTGTGAGAGAAAAAACTACTGTTTTCTGTCCTACATTGTGGCTTGTCCAGTTTTATTATCCAAATGACAATGTTACTTGGATAATCCAAGTAGCATAGTGCCATAGCGAGACTTCCATCCAATAAATATAGCACTCTTAATAAGCAGTATCGAAATACCTCAGTCTCCCAGAAACTAATTATATTTTCATATATTTTCTTATTAAATATAGATAAATATGAAAAACAATAAAAATAATGCATTATTAATGAAAATAATTTTAGTTGGAAAATTGAATATTGAAGTTTGCATTTGCCAATTTTTTTTTCGTGGTATTAATCCGTATACCTTTATTAATTTTAAACAATTTTGATATGAGGTCAGCAGTAATTTTAGATAATAATTTGGATATTATTTAATCATTACCTTAAATTTTTTTAATTTAAAATTTTGCAAGTAACTTTTAAGAAAATAAATATCTTTTATAATTATTAGGAGAAGGCCTTTGAAGGTCAATAGTCTGGGAATCTGCACATGGGGGGTCAACCACTGCAAACCTCGTCCAGCCAAAATCTGCTCTCAGAGTTATAACAAACTGTGTCTTCAGACAACACAGCCACTCTGATTAAATCCCTAAACATGCTGAACATACACTCACGCTACACATTCTCTTGTAATATTTACACTTATAAAACCTTATTCATTGATTTTAATGCTGATCTGAAACCCTTCCATTGGGTTTGAAAGGAAGAGTTTAACCCTTCCAATGTTACTTTCTTTTTTGAGATATATACAAGAGTTGTTACATTCTTGTAGAGCCACTAGTACGCGTAGCGTTTCGGGCAAGTCCTTAATCCTACGGTCCCTGGAATACGATCCCCTGCCGCGAAGAATCGTTGTTACAACCAAGTACACATTTTACTGTTGAGTTAAACAGAGGCTACAGTTAAGGATTTGCGCCCAGTAAATCCTCCCCGGCCACGATACGAACCCATGACATAGCGCTCGCGGAACGCCAGGCGAGTGTCTTACCACTGCACCACGGAGACTGTATTGTGGCTTTTTGAGCTTGACACCGTTGCTCCTTGTTTGTGTTACTTCTGACATTTTGAAGAAATTGTCCGGGATCAATATACACCAAGATGTTCAGTATTTAAATGTTTCAAAAAGATCCGCCCTGTCATGCCTGGCTTGCATCCAACTCTAATTTACAAAAGTCTCCAGACCTTTAGCTCCTGCCATTGCATTGGTCTTCAACAAACCACTTGAACTCCAAACCTTTCCGGATATTCTAAAAAAGCGAGAGTAACCCCTGTCCACAAATGTGGTGATCTCACAGATTGTCAAAAAATTCAGACCTATATCAATCCTGCCAACCTTGTCAAAAATATTTGAAAAACTAATCTACAAGCAGCTTTACTCTTATCTAGCCAAACACAATATACTTAGCTCTTGTCAATATGGCTTCAGACCCAAAAAACACTAACGATGCACTTATTAGTATGATTAACTTGATACATACAGCTCTTGATAAAAATGAGTTCCCTGTTGGGTTATTTGTGGACCTGCGTAAGGCTTTTGACACTGTCAACCACCAAAACCTTCTTCTTAAATTACATCATTATGGAGTCAGAGGACACTCCCTGCAGTACCTTCAGTCTTACCTTACTGACAGGCTCCAGTATGTTTCTGTGAATAATACAATTTCTCCCACCCTACCCATCAACATTGGTGTTCCTCAGGGCAGCATACTTGGCCCTCTACTCTTTCTCATCTACATTAATGACCTTCCAAATGCCTCCCAACACCTCAAACCAATTCTATTTGTTGACGACACAACCTTCATTTACTCCAGTCCTGATCCCCTTGCTCTAAATGCCACAGTAAATACTGAGCTAAATAAAGTCCATCTTTGGCTAACTGCCAACAAACTCACCCTTAACATTGACAAAACTTTCTGTATTTTGTTTGGTAATAAATCCTCAAATGAAATTAATCTTAAGAATAAACAATATACAAATCAGTAGTAAAGTTGATGGTAAATTCCTTGGTGTCCTCATCGATAACAAGGTGAATTTCCAGGGACACATTCTAAATATAGCCAAAAAAAGTTTCAAAAACTGTTGGCATTCTTTCTAAGATCAGATATTATGTACCACGCCCTGCCCTGGTGACTCTCTATTACTCCCTCATCTATCCTTATCTCAACTATGGTATTTGTGCTTGGGGTTCTACTACCCAAATCATCTACATCCTCTAATTACTCAACACAAAGCTGCTATTAGGACAATATCCAACTCTGGCCCCAGACATCACTCGGTTCCCTTACTTCCTTACTACCCTTACTTACCCTTAACTTTTCCTGGACAGTTGTAATAGAACCCATTATCACCACACCAGACATAAATATCTCTTTGATATCCCCAGAGTCAAATTTAATCTGTGTAAACACTATGCAAATAAAGGGACCCAGACTATAGAACTCACTCCTTGACGAATTAAAAAGCTGTCCAACTTTTGCCTTATTCAAAAATAAAACCAAAAAGTACCTAATATCATCTTCATAGTTTCCAACCTTGTGCTTTAAACCACACTGTATCTAGTGCTACTCAATCCCCCAATATATGTACCTCAGCCATATTACTTTACCATTGTAAACTTAGATATCATCTGATATCATAGTTGTTATATTGAGTGCATATTCTACTGCATTATTCCTTGAAATGATCCTCATATTGTGCTACAATGAACCAGTGTATAACCTTGAAATTTTTACCCTAATATACCTAGTAATACTCGTCATTATAGTATAATGTTATTGTTGTGTATTGATCTCATCTTTGTTTATTGTGTCAAAATTTCTTACAATGTTCTTGTAAACATTTTTTATTAATTTTACTGTAAATTATCTCCTTAAAATTATCTATTAGATTAAGGAGTTGTCCGAATCGCTATGCGTGCTAGTGGCTTTACAAGAATGTAAAATTATCATCATTACTATGTACTCTCTTAACCCCCAATGTACCTTCTTGTATATAAATAAATAAACAAACAGTTGCTTAACTCCCGGGTACCTATTTATTGATAGGTGAATAGAGACATCTGATGAGAGAAAACATGCCCAACCAGTTCTGTCCCAGCAGGGGGACTAATCCCAGGTCCGTCAAGTGTGAGCTGAGCATGAAGACCACTGAGCTACACGCCCATGTATTCATAATTATCATCATTAAACATAAAAATCTTTGCCTGATTTGCAGCCATACTTCACGTAGCCTAACCAGAGTCTCCCTCAGTCAACACATGTTGTTCAAATTCAAAATTCAAAATGTTCCTTGAAGTTCCTTGAAGTTCCTTGAAGTTCCTTGAAAATGTTTTTACCTGAGTTTACCTGAGACCAACTAGCACTAGTGGCCGAGACGGGGACAGGAAGCCGGCGGCATGTCGAAGATTCCCCCATTTTTCTTGATGTTTTCCATCTGTACTTTGTATTAAATATCATACTAAGAGGATAACATATGTTATCTTCAGAACTGTATACAACAATACAGTGCTGTATACAGCAATATAGTACTGTATACAGCAATACAGTACTGTATACAGCAATACAGTACTGTATACAGCAATACAGTACTGTATACAACAATACAGTACTGTATACAGCAATACAGTACTGTATACAGCAATACAGTACTGTATACAACAATACAGTGCTGTATACAGCAATATAGTACTGTATACAGCAATACAGTACTGTATACAGCAATACAGTACTGTATACAGCAATACAGTACTGTATACAACAATACAGTACTGTATACAGCAATACAGTACTGTATACAGCAATACAGTACTGTATACAACAATACAGTACTGTATACAGCAATACAGTACTGTATACAGCAATACAGTACTGTATACAACAATACAGCACTGTATACAACAATACAGTACTGTATACAACAATACAGCACTGTATACAACAATACAGTACTGTATACAACAATACAGTACTGTATACAACAATACAGTACTGTATACAACAATACAGCACTGTATACAACAATACAGTACTGTATACAGCAATACAGTACTGTATACAACAATACAGTACTGTATACAACAATACAGTACTGTATACAACAATACAGTACTGTATACAACAATACAGTACTGTATACAACAATACAGCACTGTATACAACAATACAGTACTGTATACAACAATACAGTACTGTATACAGCAATACAGTACTGTATTACACTTAGAAGCTACGTTTATTTGTAATTTTAACATCATTTCAGCTGTGGGTGGAATGACGACTTATGTGAACGATAACGGAATATCTTAATCCCTTGCTCACGGTGTCAGGAGATTACAGGAGCACCTGGAGCCCCTGCACCAGACGTCAGCTGGGGACGTCAATCATCTGTGATAAATGTTCCTCAAGATGGAGGTTATTGTGGACGATGGTGACTGGCCGGGCTGGCTGGGGTATATAAGGCCGGGCGGGCGGCGCGCGGGCCAGTGCCGGCCACCATGGGGAGGGGAGTACTTATACTTGCTCTCGCCTTCATTGGCTCAAGCTCTGCCTTTGGTAAGTATCAGCTCATCCAGTGATTCAGTTTCATTAACTGATGTGATTTTTAATCAATATTATGCTGCAAATGCACTCCATAATGTGCAGCAAAGCCACTTATATGAGTAATATATAGCAAATGTCCTTAATAATCATGTGATCACCAATTCATTATTTACTAACCTATTTAATTATAATTGTTGTTATTATACATAATTCATCTGCTGGAAACAGTGCTGGTCAGAAGTATGCGGCGCTCTCCAACACAATACATGAAGACATTCATAGTAAATAATGGTTTTTAATTACCTTTTAATACTTGGTTGCGGTGGCCCTTTCCCTCCTTCAAGGCTTTTGGAGATGTGAAGGAGCTTAGTGTCTTACCTGTTCAGGCCAGGACTGACGGTTGGCCTTCATGAGCTTGGCCCTGGGGTTCACGTCTCTCCCCTGCAGGTCATCCTTCACCGTGAGCCACAGTTCACGTCTCTCCCCTGCAGGTCATCCTTCACCATGAGCCACAGTTCACGTCTCTCCCCTGCAGGTCATCCTTCACCGTGAGCCACAGTTCACGTCTCTCCCCTGCAGGTCGTCCTTCACCGTGAGCCACAGTTCACGTCTCTCCCCTGCAGGTCATCCTTCACCGTGAGCCACAGTTCACGTCTCTCCCCTGCAGGTCATCCTTCACCGTGAGCCACAGTTCACGTCTCTCCCCTGCAGGTCATCCTTCACCGTGAGCCACAGTTCACGTCTCTCCCCTGCAGGTCATCCTTCACCGTGAGCCACAGTTCACGTCTCTCCCCTGCAGGTCATCCTTCACCGTGAGCCACAGTTCACGTCTCTCCCCTGCAGGTCATCCTTCACCGTGAGCCACAGTTCACGTCTCTCCCCTGCAGGTCATCCTTCACCGTGAGCCACAGTTCACGTCTCTCCCCTGCAGGTCATCCTTCACCGTGAGCCACAGTTCACGTCTCTCCCCTGCAGGTCATCCTTCACCGTGAGCCACAGTTCACGTCTCTCCCCTGCAGGTCATCCTTCACCGTGAGCCACAGTTCACGTCTCTCCCCTGCAGGTCATCCTTCACCGTGAGCCACAGTTCACGTCTCTCCCCTGCAGGTCATCCTTCACCGTGAGCCACAGCTTCTCACCTGCGCTGGGATCCGGGCTGTTACCTGGCCAACCCTTGACGAAGAGAACCATGCAGTCATGGAGCCACAAGGTGTGACAGCTGGTGGTGTCAGCAGGAGCGCCTTCCTCTTGTAACACGAAGGCATGTGAGACCTTGAAACACTCCGGCAAATAGTCACAAAGCAGCCCCGGTTAAACAGCTTGATTCACTAAGGTTTTCAGGAAACACAAGAACTTTGCCAAAACTCCTGCCTGAGAAACGCTCCCCACCGTAAGAAAACCCAATTGGGTCGATGGTTCCCTCCATCAAGGATTGGCCAGGTAACAGCCTGGATCTCAACGCAACTAAGAACCTCTGGCATGCGGTCAAGGAGGACCCGCAGGAGAGAGACGTGAACTCCAGGGCCAAGCTCAAGAAGGCATCAAGCCTGCCCAAACATCTCCCCTGAATACCCAGGAGACTTGGCTCTCTCACAGCCCCGACCCCGGCCACCAACCAAGCTTCGTTGCGTCGCCTTTTCTCACCCAAGTATTAAAAGGTAATTATAATACATTATTTACTATAATTTTCCTCGTGTATTGTGTTGTAGTGGGAGCCGAGACCAGGGCGCCGCAAACTTTTGACGAGTACTGTAAATTCTGTAACGTTTAATAACATAAAAGATGCTGTCATCTGTATGATGTTTGCCAATAGCTTACCGTATTTACCTGTGTATAAGACGCACCCATTTTACAATAATATTCTGTTGAAAAATTACATTTTAGTAGGTTTGTTATGCATTTATTGTAAGTGATATTTATAATGCAACTCTCCATATTACCATATATTCCCTCACACAAGTTGTGAGAGCGAGGGGGAACTTCCATATTACCATGTGTGGAGTACGAGTTGTGTGTTGCTGTGGAAGCCTTGGTTGTAGGGTTGATACAAAGCCATTGCTTGGCTACTGACTTTAATACTTATAATAATACATGACTAGCAGGGTCCAAGCGAGGCGGACGACTTGCACGCTCTTCCTTGTTTACATAATGCTGGCGTATGAAACGCTCCCCATACAAGCGCCGCAGTTTGCTATGAACATGACGCCATGTTCCCACGGGGGTAGAAATAACCTAAGCTACTCTATCCCGTTAAGATGTATTTCTTTCTTGTCTCAATAAACATACTTGAACCATGTTCCCTCACATAAGCTGTGACAGCGAAGGGGGAGCATGGTGTTACAACAAGGCGTCCTATCCACTGGCAGAAACTATACCTTGCAATGTATAACTTTACCGAGAAGAAGAACTAAAGTAATGTTTTTTTTTTTTACAAGACGCCGGCTTCCTCTCCCCCCTCAAGGCCACTAGAGTTGATGGCTCTCAGGTAAATTCAGGTACAACAATAGCTTACTTACAGATCCCCTGCGACAAGGAAGCTGCCCATCAGGATTCCTAGCCTTTACTGGTAACAAATGTCTGCATGTGTCTACCGACTACTACGACTCCCAAGGCCAGTTCCAGGCAGTGACCTGGGGAGGAGCGAGAGACAAGTGCACGACCATGAGTGACCACACCTGGACCACTGACTTGGTCTACTCCCTTAATGAGGACATCATGTACCAGTTCAACGACTACGTCGCTAACAACCTAACAGGTTATTATGGTCATAGGTGATCTGCTCTCACTGTTATAGACACTAACTACGTTGGGCATCATGCCAACAGATGAGGGAGAGTCACAGGGTCTCCGTAGTACAGTAGGGTTCGTCCTCGACGCACAATCGAGAATCCTGAGCGGGACAAAAATGGTTGGGCACATTTCCTTTCACCTAATGCCTTTGTTCACCTAGCAGTAAGTAGGTATTCAGGATTTAGTCAGCTTGTGGGGTTGCATCCTGGGAGGGGTCAGTAATTCGGCTTTGGGGAGGGGGAAGGGACCTGGATAAAAGCCAAACGTGTATGAATGCACACTGGCTTCCTGTCCCCCGACACAAGTGAATTATCTGGGTTATAAGTCCCTGGAACCGCCTACCCGCCAAAGCCGTAATGCCAAAACTCTGTTAGCATTTAAAGTACAGATGGGAAAGATCATTAAGGCAAATTGGGGCTATGTACGATAGTAGCTCGACAAGCCGCCAGCTTCCTGTCCTCATCGAGGCCATTATTGTTAGTAGCTCTCGTGTAAACTCTTTTTAATCTACATTCTAAGTACTTAGCTTAAGGTTCAGACACCAGTATCGTGCAAGAGGAGCTCTCATGGCTCTTGTTGAAGCTCTTGACCACGTCTGCCACACTCTCTCTCCTGGAGAACACCCACTCTGCTCCACCACACTCTACTCTGCCACACTCTCTCTCCTGGAGAACACCCACTCTGCTCCACCACACTCTACTCTGCCACACTCTCTCTCCTGGAGAACACCCACTCTGCTCCACCACACTCTACTCTGCCACACTCTCTCTCCTGGAGAACACCCACTCTGCTCCACCACACTCTACTCTGCCACACTCTCTCTCCTGGAGAACACCCACTCTGCTCCACCACACTCTACTCTGCCACACTCTCTCTCCTGGAGAACACCCACTCTGCTCCACCACACTCTACTCTGCCACACTCTCTCTCCTGGAGAACACCCACTCTGCTCCACCACACTCTACTCTGCCACACTCTCTCTCCTGGAGAACACCCACTCTGCTCCACCACACTCTACTCTGCCACACTCTCTCTCCTGGAGAACACCCACTCTGCTCCACCACACTCTACTCTGCCACACTCTCTCTCCTGGAGAACACCCACTCTGCTCCACCACACTCTACTCTGCCACACTCTCTCTCCTGGAGAACACCCACTCTGCTCCACCACACTCTACTCTGCCACACTCTCTCTCCTGGAGAACACCCACTCTGCTCCACCACACTCTACTCTGCCACACTCTCTCTCCTGGAGAACACCCACTCTGCTCCACCACACTCTACTCTGCCACACTCTCTCTCCTGGAGAACACCCACTCTGCTCCACCACACTCTACTCTGCCACACTCTCTCTCCTGGAGAACACCCACTCTGCTCCACCACACTCTACTCTGCAGCTTATTATCTTATTCATAGAAATACAGTTGTGAATGACCCTCATATTTCCACACACACACACACACACATTATATATATATATATATATATATATATATATATATATATATATATATATATATATATATATATATATATATATATATATATATATATATATACATACACACATACACACAGTGTAATTGCAAGAATGTCATTATCTATTGAGAAAATATTGAGGCTGTATGACAGGCTGAAGCCTACATGCCTGGTGGCTTCCCGACGCACGCACTACCGACTCGGCCATGATGAGCTACAAAGTACCTCTTGTTGAGGTTATATTGAGATAATTTCGGGGCTTTAGTGTCCCCGCGGCCCGGTCCTCGACCAGGCCTCCACCCCCAGGAAGCAGCCAGTGACAGCTGACTAACACCCAGGTACCTATTTTACTGCTAGGTAACAGGGGCATAGGGTGAAAGAAACTCTGCCCATTGTTTCTCGCCGGCGCCCGGGATCGAACCCGGGACCACAGGATCATAAGTCCAGCATGCTGGCCGCTCGGCCGACCGGCTCCTCGACCAGAAACACTACACAACTCACCTGGAGTTTAGCCCATCATGGTTCAGGTGGTAGTGAATAGGCCCGGAGAGTTCAGAGATGTGGGTTCGATCCCAACATACAGTATGTGTACAGAATATTATGAACAAATCAAATGTGGAAGATATTTGCATGTTATAGAATCTGATGTTAAGTAAACAACTTTTGAGTAGTAAAGACATTAAAGCATCAGGAAGAAAATCATGTCTAGGAAAGCATTCACGCACATATATTACATATGTTGACATTACGTACATATGACATTACGTACGTTGACATTACGTACATATGACATTACATACGTTGACATTACGTACATATGACATTACATACGTGTGACATTACATACATACGACATTATATACATATGACATTACGTACGTATGACATTACATACATACGACATTACATACATATGACATTACATACGTATGACATTACGTACGTATGACATTACATACATATGACATTACATACATATGACATTACATACGTATGACATTACATACGTATAACATTACATACGTATGACATTACGTACATATAACATTACATATGCATGACAATTTCTAAACGTGGTAACATTCGAAGCACAGTATATTCACAATACAGTACTAGAAATTGCCTTATTATCATTAAATTTGAGTAAGAGGATTTTAGTCATGTAACAACTTACATTATTCATTGTATAGAACAATTTTAATTAGATAATTTTACAAATATTACAGGCATGAAATACTACATCTTCTGGGTGGGAGCCAACAGGATCAGCGCCGTCTCTCACTGGGAGTGGACTGATGGCCAGCTGGTCGACTCCATGTCCTACGTGTAGGTTGCAACCCGTTCTCGCACTTTCGTATAGTCAATATTGACTTATTAAATATATGTGCATATGTGACATACTAATTTATTGTGAATATTTTAGTTTACCTTGAAAAGCTTCATAGAAAACACCGACCTTACCTAACCTTCTTAGTATGTTAAGATAAGCATCTTATTGCTTCGTAATTACAATTATTACTTAACCTATTATAGGTATAGGCATCTTATTGCTTCGTAATTACAATTATTACTTAACCTATTATAGGTATAGGTAACCTATTATAGGTATAGGTTAAGTAATAATTGTAATTACGAAGCAATAAGATGCTTATCTTAACATACTAAGAATGTTAGGTAAGGTCGGTGTTTTCTATAAAGCTTTTCAAGGTAAACTAAAATATTCACAATAAATTAGTATGTCACATATGCACGTATTTAATAAGTCAATATTGACTGTAAGAAAGTGCGAGAACGGGTTGGTAGGTCCACCAGTACCTCTTCTTCAAGTACAGTGTTTCTAAAATTGTTGCAACATTATATATATGTTAAAACTGAACAAATTTACAGGTGTTACGGAGCTTAAATCAGGATCTTGTTGCCAAATGAAATATTATTCACACCAGGTGTAGCATGAAGGAATATCCTGGTGTTTGGATGAGTACACACTTGTGATTAAATGATTAACATGTGTCATATTAATAGCCTTGGTTATTCATATTTCTTGCAGCTGGTATATGTACCACCCACTCTCCACCTCAACTAACACCAAGGGAGTGCTTGTTCCAGCCGACAAACACCGTTTCTATATGGTCGACATGCCCGACACTTCCTCTGCCCCATCGTTCATCTGTGAGGCGGCCCCTAGGTGTAACAGAACACAGCCGCCACCGCTGAACATTTAGGTATGTCAAGCACCTCTTCCACATGATCGACTGCAAGACCTTCCCCAAGACCCATCCCTCCACGGGTGACGCTGCTCTTGAACGTAACAGAACACAGCTCTCACCACTGAATGTTCAGGCTATGTCAAGACAGTAATCATTGAACTATATTAGCATTTCAGTCCTATTTCTATTAAGTTTAAAATGAATATGGTGTTAGCTTAATTATTAACTCACAAAAAATAATAGAGCTATGACTATTGTATCCTGCCAAAGAAAAGGCTCGGCCAACAATTCAAGTAATCCAAGATAGCTTTACCATGATTGTAATGATCAAACAGTACATGTGATTGTTGCCTGCTAACTGCTGTAGTAAATGTGTGACATGTATCCAGCAGCAGGTCTAACACGGTGTGTGTGTGACATGTATCCAGCAGCAGGTCTAACACGGTGTGTGTGTGACATGTATCCAGCAGCAGGTCTAACACGGTGTGTGTGTGACATGTATCCAGCAGCAGGTCTAACACGGTGTGTGTGTGACATGTATCCAGCAGCAGGTCTAACACGGTGTGTGTGTGACATGTATCCAGCAGCAGGTCTAACACGGTGTGTGTGTGACATGTATCCAGCAGCAGGTCTAACACGGTGTGTGTGTGACATGTATCCAGCAGCAGGTCTAACACGGTGTGTGTGTGACATGTATCCAGCAGCAGGTCTAACACGATGTGTGTGTGACATGTATCCAGCAGCAGGTCTAACACGGTGTGTGTGTGACATGTATCCAGCAGCAGGTCTAACACGGTGTGTGTGTGACATGTATCCAGCAGCAGGTCTAACACGGTGTGTGTGTGACATGTATCCAGCAGCAGGTCTAACACGGTGTGTGTGTGACATGTATCCAGCAGCAGGTCTAACACGGTGTGTGTGTGACATGTATCCAGCAGCAGGTCTAACACGGTGTGTGTGTGACATGTATCCAGCAGCAGGTCTAACACGGTGTGTGTGTAACTTCATGCATAACTACAATTATAAATCAAAATATTTTAAGAATTACTAAAGACTGTACTGTAATAATATATATTGAAATAAATGATTTCCATTTAACAAAAATGCTGAATGATTTGTCACTTGTTCCTTAATCAAGTAATTTGTTTACATCCAAATGTCTGAGGACACAACTGTGATTATACAGAATTAACCATCACTGCACTCAGTGATGTTACTTAGATGGTTTTTGCTTTGTTAATATCAAGGTAAAACCTTGAAGGGTCATATACAAACTGGATGCATTTTGGTACAAGGTAAGGTACCCAAGGAGAAATTACAGAGCCAGTATGACTATATAATACATGCAATGGACACGAGGACAGATTGAAGGAGTGGTGCCCAATTCATTTCACCTTTAAGGACTGAACACTGACCTTGCAGGAATCAAGGTCGGTGCTCTATCAACCAAGCCAAGTGACTGACATTATCAAAAGTGTTAAGCAATTTTGGTTATACAAGTTGTAACACATGATTACGTATGCAGGCGATGAGTCACAATAACGTGGCTGAAGTAGTTTGACCTGACCACACACTAGAAGGTGAAGAGACGACGACGTTTCGGTCCGTCCTGGACCATTCTCAATCGACTTGAGAATGGTCCAGGACGGACCGGAACGTTGTCGTCCCTTCACCGTCTAGTGTGTGGTCTGGTCAAACATGTTTACGTATACTGGTTTGGGTGTTAAGACTAAAAGTTTAGTGGTTTTTAATACTTATTGAATATAGTGTTGAAGTTGTTGGTTGGCAATGTTGCGACATGTTGTCGTATCTGAGGCCTGGGGCAGGAAACAGAGCTTGAGGGAGGCCGGGGGTAGAGAGCTCGCATGTAGGGCGAGAGCTTAGAGCGTGGAGCTCGCATGCAGGACGAGAGCTAGAAGCTCACATATGGTCAGAATCTGGCTGTCTGCTTTGTGGTGAGGCTGAAGCATCTGGTGAGAGCAGGAACCATACTTGACGATTGTTACATTGCTGCTGGTGAAGGTCGGTGGCGTTGAAGATCTGAGGTGAATGTTGCTGGTGAAGGTCGGTGGCGTTGAAGATCTGAGGTGAATGTTGCTGGTGAAGGTCGGTGGCGTTGAAGATCTGAGGTGAATGTTGCTGGTGAAGGTCGGTGGCATTGAAGATCTGAGGTGAATGTTGCTGGTGAAGGTCGGTGGCATTGAAGATCTGAGGTGAATGTTGCTGGTGAAGGTCGGTGGCATTGAAGATCTGAGGTGAATGTTGCTGGTGAAGGTCGGTGGCGTTGAAGATCTGAGGTGAATGTTGCTGGTGAAGGTCGGTGGCGTTGAAGATCTGAGGTGAATGTTGCTGGTGAAGGTCGGTGGCATTGAAGATCTGAGGTGAATGTTGCTGGTGAAGGTCGGTGGCGTTGAAGATCTGAGGTGAATGTTGCTGGTGAAGGTCGGTGGCATTGAAGATCTGAGGTGAATGTTGCTGGTGAAGGTCGGTGGCATTGAAGATCTGAGGTGAATGTTGCTGGTGAAGGTCGGTGGCGTTGAAGATCTGAGGTGAATGTTGCTGGTGAAGGTCGGTGGCATTGAAGATCTGAGGTGAATGTTGCTGGTGAAGGTCGGTGGCATTGAAGATCTGAGGTGAATGTTGCTGGTGAAGGTCGGTGGCATTGAAGATCTGAGGTGAATGTTGCTGGTGAAGGTCGGTGGCATTGAAGATCTGAGGTGAATGTTGCTGGTGAAGGTCGGTGGCATTGAAGATCTGAGGTGAATGTTGCTGGTGAAGGTCGGTGGCGTTGAAGATCTGAGGTGAATGTTGCTGGTGAAGGTCGGTGGCATTGAAGATCTGAGGTGAATGTTGCTGGTGAAGGTCGGTGGCATTGAAGATCTGAGGTGAATGTTGCTGGTGAAGGTCGGTGGCATTGAAGATCTGAGGTGAATGTTGCTGGTGAAGGTCGGTGGCATTGAAGATCTGAGGTGAATGTTGCTGGTGAAGGTCGGTGGCGTTGAAGATCTGAGGTGAATGTTGCTGGTGAAGGTCGGTGGCATTGAAGATCTGAGGTGAATGTTGCTGGTGAAGGTCGGTGGCATTGAAGATCTGAGGTGAATGTTGCTGGTGAAGGTCGGTGGCATTGAAGATCTGAGGTGAATGTTGCTGGTGAAGGTCGGTGGCATTGAAGATCTGAGGTGAATGTTGCTGGTTAAGGTCGGTGGCGTTGAAGATCTGAGGTGAATGTTGCTGGTGAAGGTCGGTGGCATTGAAGATCTGAGGTGAATGTTGCTGGTGAAGGTCGGTGGCGTTGAAGATCTGAGGTGAATGTTGCTGGTGAAGGTCGGTGGCGTTGAAGATCTGAGGTGAATGTTGCTGGTGAAGGTCGGTGGCATTGAAGATCTGAGGTGAATGTTGCTGGTGAAGGTCGGTGGCGTTGAAGATCTGAGGTGAATGTTGCTGGTGAAGGTCGGTGGCATTGAAGATCTGAGGTGAATGTTGCTGGTGAAGGTTGGTGGCATTGAAGATCTGAGGTGAATGTTGTTGGTGAAGGTCGGTGGCATTGAAGATCTGAGGTGAATGTTGCTGGTGAAGGTCGGTGGCATTGAAGATCTGAGGTGAATGTTGCTGGTGAAGGTCGGTGGCGTTGAAGATCTGAGGTGAATGTTGCTGGTGAAGGTCGGTGGCATTGAAGATCTGAGGTGAATGTTGCTGGTGAAGGTCGGTGGCATTGAAGATCTGAGGTGAATGTTGCTGGTGAAGGTCGGTGGCGTTGAAGATCTGAGGTGAATGTTGCTGGTGAAGGTCGGTGGCGTTGAAGATCTGAGGTGAATGTTGCTGGTGAAGGTCGGTGGCGTTGAAGATCTGAGGTGTATATCTATCAGCGGCTGTACTGAACCCCGATTGATGAAGATTAAGCCACCCTCGCCTGGCTTTATGGGGGCCTCTATTTATGGGGGCCTCTATTTATGGGGCCTCGTAGCCTGGTGGATAGCGCGCAGGACTCGTAATTCTGTGGCGCGGGTTCGATTCCCGCACGAGGCAGAAACAAATGGGCAAAGTTTCTTTCACCCTAAATGCCCCTGTTACCTAGCAGTAAATAGGTACCTGGGAGTTAGTCAGCTGTCACGGGCTGCTTCCTGGGAGTGGAGGCCTGGTCGAGGACCGGGCCGCGGGGACACTAAAGCCCCGAAATCATCTCAAGATAACCTCAAGAAGAACCCAAAAGGTGGCAAGGGCATGAATAGCCCGTAAGTGGTGGCCCTTTTAAGCCATTACCAGTATCAAGAGCTGATACTGGAGATCTGTGGAGGTGCGACTGCACCCTGCGTGACGGGAGATGTCTCCCGTGACTGAACCCCAATTCCAGTTAGACTAACAACGCTTCTGTTCTTGGGGCTTCTCCTCACTATAGCACACTGAGCAACATGCCAGTAAGTACACTTGGGAAGCTGTATAAATTGTAATAAGCATATATAGGATTAGTGTAGAACTTCTTGGAAAGTGAAATTTTTAGGTAATTAGTGGACCCAGGATTAATTTAGAACTCCCTGGAAAGTGGAGTTCTCAGGAATAAGTTTAGTGGAATTAAGAGGCACATCTAATCATCTGCATTGCAACTAGAGAGTTTGGAGCAATTATATTACTTCTTAATATAGGAGACAGATAGACAGCACCTCGTAACTCTCTTTGTGCCGATGTATGTGTTATGGCCAGAAGACAGACAGCACCTCGTAACTCCTCGTCATGCTAAGGAATGTGTCGTGTCCCAGGAGACAGACAGCACCTCGTAACTCCTCGTCATGCTAAGGAATGTGTCGTGTCCCAGGAGACAGACAGCACCCGTCTCTCTCAACTACAGTCAAGAGGCAGCACCAAACAGCCGAAACAACCCCCAACCCCCGCAGGCACAATGTGAGTACACTATATAATAGGTCTAACATAAATTTTATATAATGCAGTGATCCCAAGTCTCTTATGCTGCGGTTTGTCATATCATTGTTTGTGACAACAGTTGATGCTTATGAGGTGTGTGTCTTTCAGTAAGACAGTACAGTTGACAAGAATGAACAGTATCCTGTAGCAGTGTGGTCAACATCCTCGGCTCACAACTCAGGGACCCAGGTGCCTGTAGCAGTGTGGTCAACATCCTCGACACATAACTCAGGGACCCAGGTGCCTGTAGCAGTGTGGTCAACATCCTCGGCTCACAACTCAGGGACCCAGGTGCCTGTAGCAGTGTGGTCAACATCCTCGACACATAACTCAGGGACCCAGGTGCCTGTAGCAGTGTGGTCAACATCCTCGACACATAACTCAGGGACCCAGGTGCCTGTAGCAGTGTGGTCAACATCCTCGGCTCACAACTCAGGGACCCAGGTGCCTGTAGCAGTGTGGTCAACATCCTCGACACATAACTCAGGGACCCAGGTGCCTGTAGCAGTGTGGTCAACATCCTCGACACATAACTCAGGGACCCAGGTGCCTGTAGCAGTGTGGTCAACATCCTCGGCTCACAACTCAGGGACCCAGGTGCCTGTAGCAGTGTGGTCAACATCCTCGGCTCACAACTCAGGGACCCAGGTGCCTGTAGCAGTGTGGTCAACATCCTCGGCTCACAACTCAGGGACCCAGGTGCCTGTAGCAGTGTGGTCAACATCCTCGACACATAACTCAGGGACCCAGGTGCCTGTAGCAGTGTGGTCAACATCCTCGGCTCACAACTCAGGGACCCAGGTGCCTGTAGCAGTGTGGTCAACATCCTCGGCTCACAACTCAGGGACCCAGGTGCCTGTAGCAGTGTGGTCAACATCCTCGGCTCACAACTCAGGGACCCAGGTGCCTGTAGCAGTGTGGTCTACATCCTCGACACATAACTCAGGGACCCAGGTGCCTGTAGCAGTGTGGTCAACATCCTCGACACATAACTCAGGGACCCAGGTGCCTGTAGCAGTGTGGTCTACATCCTCGACACATAACTCAGGGACCCAGGTGCCTGTAGCAGTGTGGTCTACATCCTCGACACATAACTCAGGGACCCAGGTGCCTGTAGCAGTGTGGTCAACATCCTCGACACATAACTCAGGGACCCAGGTGCCTGTAGCAGTGTGGTCTACATCCTCGACACACAACTCAGGGACCCAGGTGCCTGTAGCAGTGTGGTCAACATCCTCGACACATAACTCAGGGACCCAGGTGCCTGTAGCAGTGTGGTCAACATCCTCGACACATAACTCAGGGACCCAGGTGCCTGTAGCAGTGTGGTCTACATCCTCGACACATAACTCAGGGACCCAGGTGCCTGTAGCAGTGTGGTCTACATCCTCGACACATAACTCAGGGACCCAGGTGCCTGTAGCAGTGTGGTCTACATCCTTGGTGTGACCAACCTTGGTGTGCTAAAGGTAAGACGATGAACCACCTGTACATCCAGCCAGCCAAAGACGTACCTGACCCGGGTACAAGCCACAAGACTCCAGACTCACCCTGGGCGAGGGCCACCATAAGTGAGGACGAACTCTAAAGGAGCGACCCCAGAACACTCCAGAGAAGATAACGAGCAATGCAAGGGCAGTGCTAGGGAGCACACTTCAAGATAACCCTCAGCACATGCAGCTCCAAGCACTTTTAAAGCCAAGCTAATGATACACTATAGTGTTAAAAAAAAAAGCCAGAAAAGGCAAATACCGAACCACTTAGCTGAAGAGAGGAGCCCACTCACAGACGAGAGAGAGGGGGACACGGAACCTCTACATCAGTGACATAACTGACAGCTCACACCCCGACAGACTGTGAACCACTCCCTCCCCTAAAAGGAGAGAGAGATGGGGCAAATCAGCTCATGCTAGTTTCGAGAGAATTTGATCATTTTGTTTATATAGTTGCGGAGTTCATTGTGTGGGTTTTGAGGCCTTGGTCTCTCTCTCGAACCCAGCAGTGGTTTGTTTTGGCTCGTTGGCTTTCTGATTGCCTTCCCCCTCCCTGGTGAGGTGGCAGAATGTCACCGCTCACTGTGCCTCTGTGAGGGGGGGGGAAGGGGGCCGGGTTCTGGTCTTGGTCAACGGTAGACCTAAAAAACTCTACAACTGATGGTTCCCATCTACCAGGTCACATCATCGTGTATACTGTAGCTTCAGAAAGCCACAAGGGGTCTTCCCTCCCTCCCCCTCCCTCTAGAAAGATTGTCATATAATGTAATTAATTACACTGTTTATAACTGCCTTGGCAAGATACTTCCATTACCCATTAACCACTGCACTGCGCAAAGCGCCTTTAGGCGCTCAGAGAGTTGTGCTTTTTGTTTTTTAATTTGGCTATATTTTAATGTTTTTTAATGTTTTCATTACTATTTGTGTTTTGAAATGGAAATAGTTGACTTTAGAAACATTTTGACATTAAAGTTACCTGAACATTTGTAAAAATAACAAAAATATGTCCTTGACAATTGCACCAAGACGTTTTTGCCGAAAATAGGTGAGCAGTGCAAGGGTTAAGGGAGCACAAAAATAGTAAAACTTGGACAACATTTTTATTCAAAACTGAGATCTCACTGTTCCACAAAATCTTTATTAAAGCTGCAAATGTCCTTATTAATTAAGAAACATAAATTAGGTAGACAATTTTTTTTTATATATAATTCCCAAATAAACATTTTCATTATATAATGTGTACAAATATTACCAAGCTGGCAATAACATTCTTTACTGCAATTCACAGTCTAAAGTATAATTATTATTATTATTATTATTATTAAAGCAGTTCAAATCCAATTTGGATTACATAAGAGTTAATTCGAGACACTGTGAAAGAATGAAAATACTGTATACAAGTATCAAAATAAAACGCTAACTTCAGGTTGTCATATAACACTGTCTGTGTTACAGAGTATTCAAGACATCATAGAAAACATACACGATGCTAATGCGCATCAAAAAACTTAAAGCCAGGACTTAAAAACCTGAACGCTCAGTTTTCAGCATCCCGTAAACAAAATAAAGAGACGAATGCAGCAAATTACCATACGCTATTTTCCATACCTCGTCTGCATACAAACTTACAAGAATAGTCCATTTTGATCATCACTAAATACACTATTTTAACCATGAGATAACGGGTGACAACACCGCTATGCAGGTATTGGAGATCATCACTTACTTCACAAATGAGCATATTTTGGACTCCCAGAGTCATACAAGGAAAACAAACCCCCATGTAACATATGGCGAATAGACAAAATTTCCTCATGCCAAGAAATCCCCCATGAGAGCTACCTCTCTGTATGAAGAGCATTATTGTACTACATGCTAGAACATTTGTAATGGACTGCATGTCAGAGTAGCAGTGTACTGAGTACAAGAAGAGTAGCAGTGTACTGAGTACAAGAAGAGTAGCAGTGTACTGAGTACAAGAAGAGTAGCAGTGTACTGAGTACAAGAAGAGTAGCAGTGTACTGAGTGCAAGAAGAGTAGCAGTGTACTGAGTACAAGAAGAGTAGCAGTGTACTGAGTGCAAGAAGAGTAGCAGTGTACTGAGTACAAGAAGAGTAGCAGTGTACTGAGTGCAAGAAGAGTAGCAGTGTACTGAGTACAAGAAGAGTAGCAGTGTACTGAGTGCAAGAAGAGTAGCAGTGTACTGAGTACAAGAAGAGTAGCAGTGTACTGAGTACAAGAAGAGTAGCAGTGTACTGAGTACAAGAAGAGTAGCAGTGTACTGAGTACAAGAAGAGTAGCAGTGTACTGAGTACAAGAAGAGTAGCAGTGTACTGAGTGCAAGAAGAGTAGCAGTGTACTGAGTACAAGAAGAGTAGCAGTGTACTGAGTACAAGAAGAGTAGCAGTGTACTGAGTACAAGAAGAGTAGCAGTGTACTGAGTACAAGAAGAGTAGCAGTGTACTGAGTGCAAGAAGAGTAGCAGTGTACTGAGTGCAAGAAGAGTAGCAGTGTACTGAGTACAAGAAGAGTAGCAGTGTACTGAGTGCAAGAAGAGTAGCAGTGTACTGAGTACAAGAAGAGTAGCAGTGTACTGAGTACAAGAAGAGTAGCAGTGTACTGAGTACAAGAAGAGTAGCAGTGTACTGAGTACAAGAAGAGTAGCAGTGTACTGAGTACAAGAAGAGTAGCAGTGTACTGAGTACAAGAAGAGTAGCAGTGTACTGAGTACAAGAAGAGTAGCAGTGTACTGAGTACAAGAAGAGTAGCAGTGTACTGAGTACAAGAAGAGTAGCAGTGTACTGAGTGCAAGAAGAGTAGCAGTGTACTGAGTACAAGAAGAGTAGCAGTGTACTGAGTACAAGAAGAGTAGCAGTGTACTGAGTACAAGAAGAGTAGCAGTGTACTGAGTACAAGAAGAGTAGCAGTGTACTGAGTACAAGAAGAGTAGCAGTGTACTGAGTACAAGAAGAGTAGCAGTGTACTGAGTACAAGAAGAGTAGCAGTGTACTGAGTGCAAGAAGAGTAGCAGTGTACTGAGTACAAGAAGAGTAGCAGTGTACTGAGTGCAAGAAGAGTAGCAGTGTACTGAGTACAAGAAGAGTAGCAGTGTACTGAGTACAAGAAGAGTAGCAGTGTACTGAGTACAAGAAGAGTAGCAGTGTACTGAGTACAAGAAGAGTAGCAGTGTACTGAGTACAAGAAGAGTAGCAGTGTACTGAGTGCAAGAAGAGTAGCAGTGTACTGAGTACAAGAAGAGTAGCAGTGTACTGAGTACAAGAAGAGTAGCAGTGTACTGAGTACAAGAAGAGTAGCAGTGTACTGAGTACAAGAAGAGTAGCAGTGTACTGAGTACAAGAAGAGTAGCAGTGTACTGAGTACAAGAAGAGTAGCAGTGTACTGAGTACAAGAAGAGTAGCAGTGTACTGAGTGTAAGAAGAGTAGCAGTGTACTGAGTGTAAGAAGAGTAGTAGTAGTAGCGTACTGTACCTAAGAAGAGAAGTAGTAGAGTACACACATGAGTACTGGTGGTTCTCAGCATGTAAGGAAAGACCAGTTCCTTGAAAGCAAGAACAATTGCACTGGGAAATAAACTTACAGAAATGCATCACACACATAACTTGTCACAATTAGTGTTAGTAAACATAGCAAGCTCCTTTATTACAGTAAGTCCTGTAGCTGCATCTCTAGCCGCGGGAACCAAGTTCCGTAACGAAGACAAATTTAAGAAGATAACGATGAAAGTGAAAGAGGAGAAATAAAAAGAAAATCAAGGGGAAAAAAGTAATTAGAAATATTAACATTAAAACGATAGAAGACAAAATACAAAATAAGTGAATGCAAAAGCGGCCATCCGAGAAGAATATCTCGGGAGGAAAATCTGAGAGTGTAAACTTGGGTCGTATCATGATAGCAGGAGTCTTCTTGGCTCTCTCAATTGGTTATAAATATTGGTTCACAAGACAGTCTCAACCAGCTGCAACTGATTGTTATAGCACAATTCCAAAGTGAAATTGTTCTCCAAACCCGAACCACTAACACAATTCCCAAGAGATCTTGCTGCCCAAACACTCACGTAATTACAAACACATTCACGAACTGCTAGATAAGCACTGACCGCTAACTCTATTAACTGTACAAAATTGACATTTTTTTTTTGTATTTACAAATCTCAAAGAACAAATTGACCTTACACGGAATAATTTGTTATTATTTGAGGTTCAAATAATAAACAATAAATGTTCGAATAACAAATTATTCCGTGTAAGGTAAATTTGTTATTATTTGAGGTTCAAATAATATAACCCTTCTGAAAGAGGTATTGTGGATCCCAGTGCAATGAATTATACTTCATTTTTTGTATTTTGTATACATTCTTTTTTTCGTAAGTTGCTGTGGGTATAAACAACATGTGCCATACAGAGGGGGATTATTGCACAACACGTATCACAGTGTTGAATGTCTTGAGCAATGGCTCGTGTTCACCTTTAGGCTTCCATGCATGAACAATTCAGACTAAATCCAGAACATTCAAATTCTAAGTACATAAAAGTAATTAATAATGTATTTAAATCAATAATGAAAGGCAGCAGTTATGTACCACAATCAATACATATCATTTATAATGAATAATAAGTAATAATGAAAGTAGTTCTTCATTATCAAATATAACCGTCCACCACATAATTCACAACACTGGTAAACGTCACAGTGCTGACATTTGTACCAATCACCACGAAACAATGATTCGTGGCGTCCAGTCTTGGTAGATACAAAATATCATAATCAAGCGTAGAAAACCTGCTCCTCTATACATGATGATAAACTGCAGGTGTCTAGACGTAATCGTCTCTAACGAGGTGGTCTAGTTCGGGCCCACGATATGCACCTTTCTGAAGGCAAAATTTAATAAGCTGACACCAACAGTTATCTTGGACTAGTAGGAGAGGATTGCCGACCACCAGTAACAATCCTTGAGCTCTCGTCACGGCTACATTAAAACGCTTCGGACACTTTACAAATCCCAAGCTGTGCCGAACGTCAACCTGTATGAAAGAAAAGATCCAACGTCAAAACAACTTCCTTTCCCAAATGCTAACACAGAAATGATACATGTATTTCAGCCCGTCCTCATAAACAAAGGCCAAAGTCCATTCCATGCACCTGCCAAACCCCCAAAAATGAATGATCATTCTTTCATTCATAAATGATCCATTAATCATTTATGAATGAAAAACAGTTTAGACATGACTCACAACTGATGACGTCCGAACACTTCCATAACAAGTGCCTTGCTGACAACTTTTGTTCGAACCACAACACTGTAAATGCTTCACCCATGTACTACAAATACAAATACCTGTAATTGTCAACAGAACCTAAACACCTAACCTAACCTATGCCTAAATATGCAGTAATATAAAATAATATTAATTTATATTTGAGAAAATTCCTATTTTGAATAAACAGCGTGTTAAAATGTATAAATGTGTATTTGGGGGTCGACCCCTGGGTGGAATGGACTTGGTCTGAGGATGGGTTGTGTGTTTGATTACAGTACATGACTTACGTGTCCATTTGCAACCACCACTCAACACAAATAATGAAAGTTTTACACATTGAAATCACAAAAACATGACGTGTGTGTGTCAATATTGAGGCTGTATGATGAGCGTGAACCAGCATTCCTGGTGAGTGTGCCTTGAGAGTCCAAGAGTAAGGGTCCGAAGGTGTGTGTGTCTGGGAAGTCCAAGAATAAGGGTTCGATGGTGTGTGTGTCTGGGGAGTCCACGAGTAAGGGTCCGATGGTGTGCGTGTCTGGGGAGTCCAAGAGTAAGGATCCGAAGATGTGTGTGTCTAGGGAGTCCAAGAGTAAGGGTCCGAAGGTGTGTGTGTCTAGGGAGTCCAAGAGTAAGGGTCCGATGGTGTGTGTGTCTAGGGAGTCCATGAGTAAGGGTCCAATTCCATTGTATGGCCTCAATATTTTGCAAAAAATTTTCTTATATAATAATAATAAATGTTTAACAGACTATAACCAATATAGACACAAATTCATTTTGTGTACCTATTTATAAATACCATCCAAGATCCATCCAGCACGTAACAAAACATAGCCCATACAAAATCCTTTGTTATAGAAGAGCTTCCATTATGTTGCTCACTCTAAATATGATCAATGTTCACACTAAGTAGAAGGGGGAAGAGTATTAAATTCGGCCACACAAAACGAGAAGTAAATTGCATGTACAGTATTTATGATCGTAAAGTTTGCAGGCATATTTGTTTCTGTAATGATTTCAAAATATTTCCTTAGCATATTTTTGTCTATCACAAACATGGCCATACATTTATACTATACAATGCTGACCAACACACACATGCATTTTTGTCTGTCCTACACAGACAAAGTCAGAGATGTGCTCTCCTGCATATGGTACTGAGCGTTGAATGGAATGGTAATCCCATTTCTGCGCAACACATTTGTAAAAGATGAGCCACAGTCACATAACTGAAGATATGGTGACCAAATCACATATCAGAAGATGAATGTGATTGAATATTTGTCCGTCCTGGACCATTATCAAGTCGTCAACTCACGACTTTATAATGGTTCAGGACAGACAGAAACGTCGTCGTTTCTTCGTCTTCTGATGTGTTGTTTGGTCATCAACACCTTAGTAGGCATTACACACACCTTGTGTGTGTGTAATGCCCGACTCAGCTAGCACAATGGCAGGTAAGGTAATTATGAGGTGAAAGCACTAAGCTAATACAACTATATAGCACTTGAAATGGAAATGAGGATGGGGTAAAGGAACGGTGCCCAACCACTTGGACCATTGAGGGATCAAATGCTGAACCTGCAACAATCACGCTCATCACACTACTGTCCACGTGGAAGTACAATGACAGCATGCCAGGATCTCGCGGATCCCTTTCACGAAGTAAAATTTAACAGTTTACAAATGTATGTGTTCTCCTGGCACAGTATATCACCCGGAGCTGGACATGCTGTCAGTGATCCCACCTTCATTATGACTGTTCCAGGAATCAACGTTCCCACGACCTGGTCTCTGACCAGGCCTCCTGGGTGGGCTATCTTGAGTTATCTTGAGATGATTTCGGGGCTTTAGTGTGCCCCGCGGCCCGGTCCTCGACCAGGCCTCCACCCCCAGGAAGCAGCCCGTGACAGCTGACTAACACCCAGGTACCTATTTTACTGCTAGGTAACAGGGGCATAGGGTGAAAGAAACTTTGCTCATTGCTTCTCGCCAACGCCCGGGATCAAACCTGGGACCACAGGATCACAAGTCCAGCGTGCTGTCCGCTCGGCCGACCGGCTCTGGTATCAGGCACTGCGGCACAATGGTCTACACCCTCAACTCACAATCGAGGGACGCAGATTAATACCCACGGCAGGACAGAAACGGTGGGGCCTGTTTCTTTTCACTTGATGCCTCTGTTCACCTAACAGCAAAAGATACCAGGAGTTAAGCAATTGTGGTGCATTGCTTCCTGGGAAAGGTCAGAAGTTGCCCTAGGACAACCTGGATAAGCCAGAGTTCAGGGGCCAGATTCACGAAGCAGTTACGCAAGTACTTATGAATGTGTACATCTTTCCTCAATCCTTGATGGCTTTGGTTACATTTATTAAACAGTTTACAAGCATGAAAACTTCGCAATCAACTGTTGCTATTGTTATAAACAGCCTCCTGGTGCTTCGGAGCTCATTAACTATTTAAAAATTATAAACAAAGCTGCCAAAGATTCAAAAAAGATGTACAGGTTCGTAAGTGCTTACATAACTGCTTCGTGAATCTGGCCCCAAACTTCCAGTTCCCTGATGCCTGTACTCTGTAATGAGGGATGCTTGCCCAAAGTCCAACCCTAATTGTCTCATTTATAATTAACTTTGATTTGCACAATTAATTTACTCATGTGCTGACAGTGATCCACGATGGATCAAAATGGCAACAGTTTCATGTAATTTCTAATGAGAAGGTTGGCTTATTACTCAGTATTTTACACGAATACCCACCAAACAACTCGCTGATTTTCGTACAGCATAATCCTGAATAGAGAGAGAAAACAACTGTTGGAAAATAGAGCCATCTCACCTCTACCAACTCAGTAGACGACCTTACGGTAGAGATGATGATAACTCGCCTTTCCTGGCCTTGAAATTCTTCCACAGATCCAACCTTCACATTTTCCTCAATGCCAAAAGTTATCAATAACTTTCGGACTTTTTCTACCTGTCGGAGAACAAATAAAAATCTAGATTTAGCAGCCAGTAACTACAGAAGACTAAAAGTTTGAATGTTTACAGAGAATAAGTCACAATAACAAGCCTGAAAACAAATAATCAACAAATACAAATGAAAAAGAAAGGAAAGTGACATCATTTTGTCCCGTCACGTGACACGAGTCCAAGACGAGCCAGAATGTTGTCACTATTTCGTATGCGTGGGTTGGCTGGCTTGGTCACGTCTGATGGCACAGTCACTAAACCTTGAGGAAATTGTGATTTTCAAGGCTCACAACTGTAACATTTATTGTATCGTCCAATCGAGTGTTACATTATTTACATCCTCCCATGACCTGTGTGAAGCCTTTGTCTGTCCTCCCGTGACCTGTGTGAAGCCTTTGTCTGTCCTCCCATGACCTGTGTGAAGCCTTTCTCTGTCCTCCCATGACCTGTGTGAAGCCTTTGTCTGTCCTCCCATGACCTGTGTGAAGCCTTTGTCTGTCCTCCCATGACCTGTGTGAAGCCTTTGTCTGTCCTCCCATGACCTGTGTGAAGCCTTTGTCTGTCCTCCCGTGACCTGTGTGAAGCCTTTGTCTGTCCTCCCATGGCCTGTGTGAAGCCTTTGTCTGTCCTCCCGTGACCTGTGTGAAGTCTTTGTCTGTCCTCCCGTGACCTGTGTGAAGCCTTTGTCTGTCCTCCCGTGACCTGTGTGAAGCCTTTCTCTGTCCTCCCATGACCTGTGTGAAGTCTTTCTCTGTCCTCCCATGACCTGTGTAAAGCCTTTATCTGTCTTCCCATGACCTGTGTGAAGCCTTTGTCTGTCCTCCCGTGACCTGTGTGAAGCCTTTATCTGTCTTCCCATGACCTGTGTGAAGCTTTTATTTATTTGTTTTGGTCAAAAGATGATCCATTAATCATTTTACAACCAGGTAAATTACTGCAAGATAAACAGAGGAGGAGAAGAACCAAGAGTGAGCAATATTCGTGCTCTTCACCACGCTCAACCGTAGCTTCTCTTACACAATCCAAAAAGAAGGATTACGGAAGGACTGGATATAAAAAGGTGTACTGAAATTAGCCTGCGTTATTAATAATTAAGGCATCCTATGAATTAATATAATGATCCTATGAAGTACTGCTCGTATCATTACCTCAGCAGCACACTATGATACTTGTAATGATGTTATGAGCTAACTTACTTGCTTCCTGTACGGCGTGATAATTCCAACATCCTGAGGCTTAACACCGAACATAATGAGGCTCTTCGTGTACCGCACCACCTGAAACACACGACATAATGAGCTCATTATACCTTGAGGCTACCTTGAGGTGCTTCCGGGGCTTAGTGTCCCCGCGGCCCGGTCGTCGACCAGGCCTCCTGGTTGCTGGACTGATCAACCAGGCTGTTAGACGCGGCTGCTCGCAGCCTGACGTATGAGTCACAGCCTGGTTGATCAGGTATCCTTTGGAGGTGCTTATCCAGTTCTCTCTTGAACACTGTGAGGGGTTTGCCAGTTATGCCCCTTACGTGTAGTGGAAGCATTATAGACCGTTAAAGAGGGCATCTACTCCATTTAATGACCTATACGGGGGGCTGAACCAAAGTCAGGTTCAGCTTCTGGGCTGGGTAATCCTGGGCTCTTAAATATGGTCGTATAAAAATGCCAACATCTTTTTAGTCATATTCAGGAAGGCAACAGGATGGATGGATGATAGGGTGGATGGGTTTTGGCTGGCTGGCTGGCTGGCTGGCTGGCTGGCTGGCTGGCTGGCTGGCTGGCTGGCTGGCTGGTAGGTGGGCAGGGAAAGAGTGGGTGGGCAGATGGGTGGGATGGATGGATAGATGAACAACTAGCTCGCTGGCTGGAGTGTGGGGGAGGGAAAAGGCAGGCAAGAGTGGGGAAGGGCAGAGGTGGGCAGGCTGGCAGGTGAATGGGTGGAATGGTAGGCAGGCAGGTGGGTGGGCAGGCAGGCAGGTGAATGGGCAGGCAGGCAGGCAGGTGAATGGGTGGGCAGGCAGGCAGGCAGGTGAATGGGTGGGCAGGTAGGCAGGCAGGTGGGTGGGCAGGCAGGTGCACATAAGCATGGAGCCCGTACCTTGTCAAGCACAAGACAAAGCTGGAAAAAGTTCAGAGGTATGCCACTAGGCTAGTCCCAGAACTAAGAGGCATGAGTCACAAGGAAAGGCTGTGTGAAATGCTCCTCATGATACTGGAAGACAGGAGAGCATGGGGAGTCATGATTACTACTACAAAATTCTCAGAGGAATTGACAGGGTAGATAAAGATAAACTGTTTAACATGAGTAGTATGCGAACAAGGGGACACAGGTGAAACCTTAGTACCCAAATGAGCCACAGGGATGTTAGAAAGAACTTTTTCAGTGTCAGAGTAGTTAACAGGTGTAATGCATTAGGCAGTGATGTGGTGGAGGCTGACTACATACACAGTTTATAATGTAGATATGATAGAGCCCAATAGGCTCAGGAACCTGTACATCAGTTGATTGACAGTTGAGAGGCGGGACCAAAGAGCCAGAGCTCAACCCCCACAAGCACAACTAGGCGAGTATACACATATATTTAGCCTCACACAGCCACATCAAAGAAATGTTGGAACCATCTCTCACCCCACGGTGTTATAAACATTGACCAAGCGAGGGCAAAGTTGTCACAACACACCCAATAGTGACCTCCACCTTAACAACCATCGGCCTCTCTAAACTCACTACCATATTCTGGCTTCAACGACCAGGGACTCTGCAAATAAGGCTCCTGTTACCAATCTCAAATTGGGTCATTAGCATTGGCAGAACTGTAAATAAAAGTCCTTTTAATTGAGTGGATACTCTATTATACAAGATGTTAATCAAAGTAACAATCATATTTGCCAATTCATCTGGGAACAGTATGGAATTTTTATACACTATAAAATATCACCTTTCTTCCTGCATTATTATCACAACGTAATGAACTAATTCCCACTGTTGGGGACAGGAAGACTGATCTTCCCCAGAATTTAACCCACAAAAATTGCATGACTCCCCAGGTACTTATTTACTGCTGGGTGAACAGAGGCACTGAGTGAAAGGTACCTCTAAACAAAAACCTGATCTTCCCCAGGATGCAACCCATAACAGTTGCCTAACTCCTGGGTACCTATTTTCTGCTGGGTGAGCATAGGAATCAGGTGAATAGAAACATGCCCAACCATTTCTGCCCTATCCGGGGATTGCACTTGGGTCCCTGGGTTATGAGCCTAGGACAGACTACTGTGCTACAAGATTGACTTGATAATGGTCGAGGACGGACCGAAACGTCGTCGTCTCCTCATCATCTGATGTGAGGTTTAGTCTTCATATCTTCAGCCACATTATTGTGACTCAACGTCTGCAAGATCAACATTCTCTAGAGGTAATCGTGTCCCTCGGCACGAGAGAAACACAAAAATCACACGAACTATAATCTCAAGATTGCTTGGCTGAGGCACCCTTGTGGGGAAGGGTACACAACCACACTGTCTCACATGAAAACTAGAAGGTGATCCCGAGGCATCACAAAGGCAAGCCATGCACCACCAACACAAGTACAAGACAAGCAAGGCAAAAGTTGTGACAGACGGCTCAGTGTACCGACCCACCCAACTGCAGCCGAGCCAAATGGCTACCAACCAGCAAGGAAAATGGTACAGAACAGGGTATTAGGCAGTGCTATAGTCAAGGATAAAGCATGGAGCAGTGTAACTACAAGCAGCAATAGAAAAGGATGATTGCAGGCAAAGACATAGAGGAGTCAGCTTGCTGTGGCTCTTCGAATGTGATGATGCACATTTCCAAGTGTCTGGAGGTGGCTGGGTTTGGTTACTCATTTCTGTGAAGAGAATATCACAATAATGTAACTGAATATCAATACCAAATGAACAAATCCACAAGGGCCGTGACAAGGATTCGAACCTGCGTCCAAGAGCATCCCAGATGCTGCCTTAATTGACTGAGCTATGACATGGTAAAAGAATTGTAGCCAGAAGTTCTACTGAATTTACTTGGATCCTGCAGCCTCTCCGAGACACAAACCATGAATTTACACAATTCCCCCATGCACTCGAGCTATGTCAATAGGCCGTTCTACCTCTTCGCCCTTCCTTCATTATACATGGGGGCATGGGGGAATTGTTTAAAATCCTGGTTTGTCTCTCGGAGAGACTTCAGATCCAAGTAAATTCAGTAGAATTTCAGGTTGCAATTCTTTTACCATGTTGTAGCTCAGTCCATTAAGGCAGTGTCTGGGATGCTCTCGGACGCAGGTTCGAATCCTCGTCACGGCCCATGTGGATTTGTTCATTTGATGCATCACGCTATTGTGATTTCTGTGTGTAATCAACACCAAAGTGACACTTATAAAAAGAATGTTAATTGACGATGTTTTGGTCCATCCCGGACTCTTATCAAGTTATTCTGGATCCTTAACAAGGGTCCAGACTGAAACACCTTCACTTTCTTTTCATGTATGTGATTGGAACTTAAAGATCCAAGGAACACAGCAAGTGCTCCGGAACCCAGAGTGCAGGAAAGCGTGGTGTTCTGTAGTTCAGTGGTATACGTCCTCAACACACAATTGAGGATCCTCTGTTTCCTTCCAGCTGATGTCTCTGTTCACCTAGCAGTAAATAGGTTCACGAGAATTCAGCCTGTCCTCCTAAGGTTTCCCAATGTCAAGAAAACAGTCAATTTAAAGTCTTCTCTCCTAACCTACCAGAAGACCCAAAACAGAAAACAGGACAGTATGTCACTTTCGCCAGCCGCTTCCATTTTCTAGTACAGCAATTTTTAGCCTTATGTAACGCATATGAGCGAAAAGCAACGTTCTTTGTAGGAGGACAGGTTGGAGAGTTAGGCAACTGGGGATTGCATCCTGGTAAAGATCAGCATAGTAATTGGCCTAGGGAGACCCAAGTACAAGTTTCGGGTTCCTGACAACAGAAATTACACAATCAAGTCATAGCTAAATCTAATGAATATCCAGATAGACTAACCTGAAAAGCTTCAGCTGCATTGAACCAAGATGGAGAGTCTCCTTCCTGGAGGTTGTCCCCAACCACACCGTGGAACAAGAGCGGACACGAGGGACAAGGCAGCTCATCCCACGCCAGGAGCTCTTCGTTCACCTGAGGGAGAGAGAGAGCCGTGCTTCCTAATGATCGTGCAGCTACACAACCTCATGACAAATGTTTGATGATGATGTTATGCATTATTAGGCATATTTGATCTTGCACATGATGCAAGTGTCACATAACAAAGATTATAAAGAAGACATGACACTACTTATGTAGCTCCCATCATGTAACTACACACAAGTAATTAAAAACTGCATCTGAGCCCATTTATATGTATAAATTGTAAGTACATGCATGTCAGTACATATAAATATCAGTTGGCTGTAGAGGTGTAAAGGAATTAGAGGATGAATGCAGAGAATAACCCACAATTACATGACAAACCCAACCCACACAATTAAAATTAAATGAATGACAATGTTTTGGTCTATCCTAGACCCTTATAAATACACAGAGGAATCACAGAGTTTAACCTGACTGCATCAATGAGAAAACCCGTAGGAGCCGTGACGAGAGTTTGAACCTATGCGGCGGGTGTTCCCTCGCACACGTTCTAGCGACTAGACCACGACTTGGTGTAAGGATTGCAACCTGGAGCTTTACTTAACACACAAGGGTTTCCCGAGGTTTCTACTGAAGCCAGACCAGGATTTTCACACAGATTTTCCCCATGGCACTCTGGCTCTGTCAGGAAGCCCTTGTGTGTTAAGTAGAATTCTAGGCTGCAATCCTTATACAAAGTCATGGTCTAGCAGCTAGAGTGCGTGCGTGTGTGAACACCCACCACATAGGTTCGAACCCTCATCATGGCTCCTACGGATTTTCTCAACCTTATAAAGTTGTGACGAGCTGAAGTGGGTCGAGGACTGATCAAAGCATCATCGCTTTCCTTTCATAATGCATGTATGGGTCATTAGAGGATGCATCTAACATCAGAATTTGTTACTGGAAGAGTATCTCTATAGGTTCACAGGAAATAGAGAGGAGAGAGAGTGTGCCGTGTTTTGGTTTTGACGATTTATCGGAGAGCAGCATTGTTGCTAACATGTGAAAAACCGGGAAACAAAATGTCAAACGCAAATTTTTTTTCATTATGTAGTGGACAGGGTTAGAAAAGAAACAAAATAGCAAATTGGAAACGCAAGTCAAAAACACAGTGGGAATAAAACTCGTTGAATGTAACTATGATGCGTTACCCAATGAGTTTTTACCACACTAGATTTTTATACACTGCGGTACTCTAAACTGAAATAGTTCTACAGGTGTGTTCATCTAGGAATATAGTGTAGTCTGACTGACATCTTGGTGATCCTGAGCAGATGAATGTAACTAAGAAGGAATGTAACCTCTTAGGAAAATGAAGCTCAGGGGAGTGGGAGAGGGGGGGGGGATGGGAAGATGGGGGGGGGGTGTTCAAAGATATGTATGTATATGACAGGAAGGGGAGGAGAAATGGGAGCATTTGAGTATCTTGATTAAAACAAAATTTGCAATATTCGCTAAAACTGATTCTAAGGCAAGTATAAAAGATAAAACAACCTGTCCTCACACGCTATCTGCTATAACTTGGACGCTATCTGCTATAACTTGGACGCTATCTGCTATAACTTGGACGCTATCTGCTATAACTTGGACGCTATCTGCTATAACTTGGACGCTATCTGCTATAACTTGGACGCTATCTGCTATAACTTGGACGCTATCTGCTATAACTTGGACGCTATCTGCTATAACTTGGACGCTATCTGCTATAACTTGGACGCTATCTGCTATAACTTGGACGCTATCTGCTATAACTTGGACGCTATCTGCTATAACTTGGACGCTATCTGCTATAACTTGGACGCTATCTGCTATAACTTGGACGCTATCTGCTATAACTTGGACGCTATCTGCTATAACTTGGACGCTATCTGCTATAACTTGGACGCTATCTGCTATAACTTGGACGCTATCTGCTATAACTTGGACGCTATCTGCTATAACTTGGACGCTATCTGCTATAACTTGGACGCTATCTGCTATAACTTGGACGCTATCTGCTATAACTTGGACGCTATCTGCTATAACTTGGACGCTATCTGCTATAACTTGGACGCTATCTGCTATAACTTGGACGCTATCTGCTATAACTTGGACGCTATCTGCTATAACTTGGACGCTATCTGCTATAACTTGGACGCTATCTGCTATAACTTGGACGCTATCTGCTATAACTTGGACGCTATCTGCTATAACTTGGACGCTATCTGCTATAACTTGGACGCTATCTGCTATAACTTGGACGCTATCTGCTATAACTTGGACGCTATCTGCTATAACTTGGACGCTATCTGCTATAACTTGGACGCTATCTGCTATAACTTGGACGCTATCTGCTATAACTTGGACGCTATCTGCTATAACTTGGACGCTATCTGCTATAACTTGGACGCTATCTGCTATAACTTGGACGCTATCTGCTATAACTTGGACGCTATCTGCTATAACTTGGACGCTATCTGCTATAACTTGGACGCTATCTGCTATAACTTGGACGCTATCTGCTATAACTTGGACGCTATCGACCACAATCTCACAATTACAGAGCCTCAGCGGAAGCTCAAATTTTGATACTATCAACCAGTGTCATATTACAGCACTTTAGTGAAGTTTAAATTTGGACGCTATCGGCCACAATGCCACAATTATGATTTTTTTTTTTTTTTTTTTTTATTATTTTCAACCACAGACGTGGCCACACATTTACAATGCTAATCAGCATATATATACATTTTCTTCTGTCCTCCATGGACAGGGTTAGAGAAGTGTTAAACATACAGTTCAAGGGTTTATTGAACACTCAACCACAGAAGGTGATTCGGTGCTTTTAAAATGCTAAGCTAACCTACATACGTAAATACATAGATACACAGATTTACGTATGCCCTACATAAAGTATTAGATGTGTCTTTTACATAGTGTCATTAATGTACATTCACAAAGGTGAAATGTAATTCTGATCAGCTTCCATATATGCTTTATACCCATACATATACATACACACACACACATACATATATACACACACACATGCATTCACATACATTTGTCTCATTTACCCTGACAGGGTGAGGTAGCTGATAAAGAAACTAGTGTGCAATTAAGCACTTAATCACTGAAGGTGATGAAGGTGCTTTTACAAGCTCAGGTTATATAGTTACATCACATACATACATTGTATGATTGATACATTACATGGTCAATTTTGGATACAAGTCCAATATATCATCAAGTGTTCCAGTACTCATATAGTAACTACAGAGTTCAGCATACCTTAGCCCAGGAGGGCAAAAGTCAGTCAGTATTGGACACTCTACAATATAATGTTCAAGAGAGTGCATGTTTTCTCTTTCACAAAGTTGACACATTGTGTACTCGACATTTGGGTTTTGAGAAAGCTGCCAGATACGTCTATATCCCAGGCGTATTCTGGCCACTATAACATCACATTGCCGGGTTCTTGTTCTATTAGTCCCATATGTGAATGTCTCCTCACGATATCTATCATAATATTTAATGCTACAACTTTCAGGTCTTTGAGAATTTGTTAGGTCGGTGAGATTTTCATTAGATATTTGTTTAAGTATTCTCTTTGTCACTGCTAATGAAACACCCATATCAATTTCTACCACTGGTTTTCTGCAGGCTGACTTAGCAAGCATATCAACAGTGTCATGCCTTGAGATGCCAACATGTGATGGTATCCATAGGAATTTAATCTCAAATCTGTTTTCTTTGGCAGCTAAAACATTCATTCGAATATCACTGACTATTTTCTGGGTGTTACTACTATGTGCGTTCTATATTGTGATTTGATGGAAATTAAAGCACAGCAACAGCATCACAAAGCACTGTGATGGACTCCTGAGCACTGACCTTGATAATTTAGGTGGGTTACTAAGACTAAAACACTTTGGTTCTTAATTTAGACAGAAAACTGCAAATTTTACACTCATTGAATTCTGAGAACGGGTTAGGACACGGAGCTATCATTTACAAGTTGAGGTAAGCCAGTGATCAAGGACCTACGACTCCGAAGCAAAAAAGAACAAAAATAATAAAGCACCTTGCAAGACAGAGGAAAATTGATCCACAAGAAATCAGAGATAAAAAGTAGTTTAGAAACTTTGTGAGTAGATTAGGTAGATATGAAGTATATTTTAATTATTATGTTCAAAATAACCATGAATATGAATGGATTAATGGATCTTCAAGATTTAATACTCAGAATGGTTTACAAGATTTTATTTCTTGTTGGATGCTATCGACCACAGTGTCAAATTACAGCTCTTTAGTGGAAACTTAAATTTGGATGCTGTTCGCTAAACAGCAGAAATCAGTTTGCTAAAACCACACACTGATAAAGCCACACATTGATATAGAAGATAAACACGAGTGGTAAGTGATCTCACCTTATTATCAGCACAGGCTTGAAGGCTACTGTGGTAGAAGAGAGTGGATGGAACGTGGAGGATGTCGGGATGAGAACGATAGTTCTTCACCAACTGCGTCACCAGGCACGCTTGGTACAGCCACGCTGAGGACTTGCTCACTTCTTCTGGCTGAAAGTTACCAATCATTCATCAATTTAACATTTATAAGTTTGGTCATTTTAAGGTGAATTCTTGTAAGATATGAATTACTGTACTAGCAGTGGCAGTCAGTAAAGATTCTCAAATTCCTTAATTCAGGTCAAGCTGGAAAAGAAGCATGGCAGTAGCAGCCATATTTACCACTGTCTTAACAGCTGAAAAAAATAAAACGATGTATCTTGCAAATTATTCTAAGTTCTATTTTCAATAATTTGGCTCACAATTTATAACTTAAGTTCTTGTACCCAAACTAGTATAATAGCCACTGAAAATGTATAAAAAATCATATTGGAGTGGTGAGCTTTACCTGATAAAGAACAGAATAACACAAACGCTGCAGAAGGGAATGCTGGAGACCGTATCTCTTGGCTAAGCCACTTTGAACCACAGGGCCGAGCTGCTCAGGATCACCAACAAGAACCAGTTGACCTGATGTAGAATTCACTAACCTGGAAATACAATCGAACATTATTACATCTTCACTTTATACGATTCACCTCGTGGTTAGCGACGTCCTGGATAAATGACTCGATAATGGTCCAGGACGGATAGAAACATTGTCATTTCTTCATTTTCTGGTGTAATTTGTTAATTGTATCTTCAGCCATTTAATTGTGACTCATTGTCTGTCCAAATATTTATGAACAAAGCTTTTCAATTTGAATTTGAACAGAAAAGAGAATTTGAACAGGAGCAGAGAAGACTCTCGAAGTACACTTGGCCTCGCTCTCGACTCACAATTGGGGATCCCGGGTTCGATACCTGGGCAGGACACAAATGGTTGAGCACGTTTCCTTTCACTTAATGCCTCTATTGACCTAGCAGTAAATAGGTACCCAGGAGTTAGGCAGCTGTTATAGTGTTGCATACTGGGGAAGGCCATTAGTCCAACCTAAGGAGTCGGGGGTGGCTCGATACAAGCCTAAAATATGAGTGGGTGTATACGTACATATACATATATATATATATATATACTCCTATATATATACAGGAGTACCACCTCTGGTGCAATTGAAGGGACCCATAGCACCAGAGAATAACAAGTACAGTATTCAAAGAAAAATGCGCCATTTGACCAGATACGTACGATATTCGAGTTAGACGGCTACTATGGGCTGATTCCTGGGGATGTGAGTGTGTGTAATTACCTAAGTGTAGTTACAGGATGAGAGCTACGCTCGTGGTGTCCCGTCTTCCCAGCACTCTTTGTCAAGTACAAATAGAAATAAAAAGAGAGAAATATGTGTTGTAGACATAATAGAGGAAAAATAAATTGGTTAGAAAGGCAGGATCCAAGAGCTAATAGCTCGATTCTGCAGATACAAATAATAAATACAAATAGTATACTGTACACACACACACACAAACACAAATACTGTACATACAGACTTCCAACAATGGGAATGCCCCAAATTTATGGTCTATGACAAGGACAACATTTGTACTAATTTCCCTGTTCTTATCATATAGCTTTAAATCTCTTCTGATGAAGATATGTATTAAATCATTTTGCTTCCTGCACCTGGAGGGTGGTCACCTTGCTGTTACCTTGTGTTGATTCCGGGGGTCAAGGTGTATGCAGCCCGGTCTCTGACCAGGCCTAGTTGATGGTCTGGTCAACCAGGTTGTTGGATGTGGCTGCTTGCAGCCTGGCGTGTTAATCACAGCCTGGTTGATTAGGTATTCTTTTGGAGATGTTTATGGAGTTCTCTCTTGAACACTGTCAGGGGGTCAGCCAGTTATGTCCCTTATGTGTAGCGGAAGCGTGTTGAACAGTCTCGGGCCTCTGATGTTGATAGTTCTCTCTTGAACACTGTGAGGGGGTCAGCCAGTTATGCCCCTTATGTGTAGCGGAAGCGTGTTGAACAGTCTCGGGCCTCTGATGTTGATAGATTTCTCTCTCAGAGTACCTGTTGCACTTCTGCTCTTCAACGGGGATATTCTGCACATCCTGCCATGCCTTCTGGTCTCATGTGATGTTATTTGTGCACAGGTTTGGAACAAGTCCCTCTAATATTTTCCATGTGTAAATTATTATGTATGTCTCCCGCCTGTGCTCTAGAGAATACAGATTTAGACATTTTAGTCAGTCCCAGTAATTTAGATGGTTTATCGAGTGTATTCTAACAGTAAAGGAACTCTACACACTCTCCTGGTCAGCAATTTCTTCAGCTTTGAAAAAGGGCCTGTCATTGTGCAACACTATTTCATTTTAGAGAACATTAGCATCTTGAAAAATATTATTAGTACGGCATCTCTTATTTGAAAAGTCCTTTGTTATCCAACCTTTCATTTTTCTTGCAGTTATGACAGCTAGTTCATTGTGTTCTTTAAAGGTAAGGTCTTCTACCATGATTACACCAAATCCTTTACACTGCTTTTACGGTCTATGTTATGATTTGACTGCATTTTGAACATGGTTTCAATTTTTAACATTTTCCTTTTTTCCATAGTGCATGGGGCTGGAACTTATCTTCATTAAATATTATTTTCTGTGGCCCATTGAAAGACCTGATTTACATCAGTTTGGAGGTTTGCTGTGTCCTTCATGTTGTTTACTCTCATAAAAATCCTAGTGTCATCTGGAAAGAATGATATGGTACTATAGTTTGTATCCTGGCTATGTCTGATATGAGAATGAGAAAAAGAGTATTGGAGCAAGCACAATACCCTGGGGGACTGAGCTCTTCAGTGGTTGATGGTCCAGATTTTACTTTGACTATCACACATTGGGTTCTGTTAGTCAGGGAATTGTAGATACATCTTCCTATTTTTCCAGTGGTTCCTTTTGAGTGCATTTTGTGTGCAATAACACCATTGTCACATTTGTTGAAGGCTTTTGCGAAATCTGTATATATGTTTGAAGACAAACATAGCCAGCATTGTTTGTCTTCCATGGCATCTAAGGCCATGTCATAGTGGCCCAGCAATTGTAATAGGCAAGAGTGTCCTGTTCTGAAACCGTGTTGTCCAGGGCTATGTAGATGCTGTGATTTCAAGTTTTTTCCAAATCAAGTGGAGTCAGGGTGACATCTGATATATGATTTGATGTTGGTATGAAATTCATGAAGAATTCATTGGGGTTATCAATCTTCAGTATGTACTCACCTAGTTGTGTTTGCGGGGGTTGAGCTCTGGCTCTTTGGTCCCGTTTGTTTAAGGGCTCACTGAAAATGGAATCGTATTGTTGCCTCAGTATTTCGCTCATTTCTTTGATGTCATCTTTTAAAGTACCACCTCCATTTTGCAGGGGCCTGATACTAGCTGTAGTTTTTGTTCTAGACTTTACATAGGAGAAGTATTTTGAATTTGTCTCTTATTTTGCTGATGGCCTTTTCCTCTCTCTTCCGCTTCTGGATTTTACATGATTCTTGTCGCTTTAATTCAATCGTTTCTATTTTTCTACATAGCCTTCTTTGTTGTCCTTGAGACAGGGCGACGCATTCAAGTTGTTCTGTGATCCTTTTTTTTGTCTATAGAGGGAACATCATTCTCATTCCAGTCTGCATCTCTTCCAGATGCAATTCATATCCAGTCTGCATATACATTATTGGTGATGTATCAACAAACTAGCATTCTGCTTCAGTTAATATACTAGAGCTTAACTAAGAGCAACTAAGCACTCTAGGTCGGTTAATATACTAGAGCAACTAAGCACTCAGGCTTAGTTAATATACTAGAACTCACCCTAACCCAACTAAGCACTCTGGCTCAGTTAATATACTAGAACTCACCCTAAACCAACTAAGCACTCTGGCTCAGTTAATATACTAGAACTCACCCTAAACCAACTAAGCACTCTGGCTCAGTTAATATACTAGAACTCACCCTAAACCAACTAAGCACTCTGGCTCAGTTAATATACTAGAACTCACCCTAAACCAACTAAGCACTCTGGCTCAGTTAATATACTAGAACTCACTCTAAACCAACTAAGCACTCTGGCTCAGTTAATATACTAGAACTCACTCTAAACCAACTAAGCACTCTGGCTCAGTTAATATACTAGAACTCACCCTAAACCAACTAAGCACTCTGGCTCAGTTAATATACTATAACTCACTCTACACCAACTAAGCACTCTGGCTCAGTTAATATACTAGAACTCACCCTAAACCAACTAAGCACTCTGGCTCAGTTAATATACTAGAACTCACCCTAAACCAACTAAGCACTCTGGCTCAGTTAATATACTAGTACTCACCCTAAACCAACTAAGCACTCTGGCTCAGTTAACTGGCCAGCTTCATCAACTAGCACATGACTAAAGTGTCCATTGTGAAGACCGAGAGTATACATAACACCAGCGGTGGTCGCTGTCGTCACTATGATCCGCTGATGTGCACGCACCGAGAGCTCATCACCGTTGCAGCAATATGGACGGATAACCTCAGGAATGGCATCTTCCAGTCTCTGAAATATGATTAATTTGTATAGTGAAACCACAAGAATGTTATATCTCTACGGGAAAATATTGAGGCTATATGATGTTATGGAACCCTAATCCTTGGACTCAACAACCACATGCACTACCAACTGAACCATGATGAGCTCTGTCAGTAGTGTGTGTCTGGGGAAGTTAGATGTGTGAATTCGATTCCATCGCATGGTCTAAATATTTTCTCACGTTCAATTTGTCTAGAATTCTTATAAACATTTACATTTGGGAAACAACTTTTTTTTTTCTTCAATATATCAATATACTGTACCTCACTTGGTACGTGAGGTACAGTATATTGGTACTTATATTACTATACTGGTATTTATGAATTCTTTGTCTCACCTGGTAGGCATTTAATCGCACCACTTCCATTTTCCCCAGCTGGCCAGAAGCAACGAGTCTCTCCATTACGAGGTCTGAGGCACTATTGGACGGCGTTATTATTATAATCCTGAAATTGAAAACATAATATATAATATAATCTTGTTTTATATTGACACTCTCCCACCTTTGTTGCCACAACTTAACACTTTCGAGTTTGCAGCGTGCGCGTCCCAGCCTACCCCAAGATGGGCTGAGCATTTTGCGTGAGCGCACAGCCACACTAAAATGTGTATACTCTTTTCAGTTTTCTCACCTCAATTCTCGTGCTACATCGTTCATTTTGATATCAATTTGTTTGCAATAAAATTTCCTACAAGGGTAGATGCATACAAGGTCCAAAAGCCAGGCATGTCCCCTTCCCCCTCCCTCCCACCACAGCAGAGATGAAAATCGGCCAAGCATTACCCATGAGCAAGCACCCATTGGCACCCCTGCAACACCCACACTCAAATGTGTATACTCTTTTCAGTTTGATAACATCAATTTTCATGTTACATCGCTCATTTAATATCAAATTGTTCGCAATAGAATTCCCTACGGGGATATATGCAAATAAGGTCAAAAAGCCCAGCGTGCAACCCACAGCAAACCCGAAAATTGGCCAAGCATTACCCGTGAGTAAGCACACATCCGCACACCAACACCTGCACTAAATTGTGCATACTCTTTTCAGTTTTCTAACGTCAATTTTTGTGTTATATCATTTATTTTGGTATCAAATTGTTCACAATAGAATTCTCCAAAGGATTATATGCATATAAGGTCAAAACGCCCAGCCTGCAACCCGCACCAAACCAGAAAATCAGTCGAGCATTACCCATGAGCACAAAACACCCATGAACGTTATCCATGAACAGAGTATACACAAAATGTGTATAACCTGTTCTATTTTCTCACCTCAATTTTAATGCTACGTCGTTCATTCTGGTATCAAATTGTTCGCAATCTAAAGGCACACATTTTAAAAGTAGTCCCATAATGATCGGGTAAAAAAAAACAGAATTTTAACAAATATTTTAATTTTGGACCTCACGTGTCCCCGCCGGACATCCCGCAGAGTTATTTGTGCGTGTCACCCCGGAGGACGAAAGTGTTAATAAAGTTCCAGAACGGGCCAAAATGTTCTCACTAATCATTTCAAATGTATGGGCTGGGTTATTGGCTTCTCCCAGATTACTGTGACTTTCTCTTCAATATAAAACCTATAACTTTTTGCCATCACCATTAACATGAGCTTAATTTCTGCCGATCCCATTACAACACCGAGTATCGTAATATTAATGATGAACTGCTTACAGGCTGCTACCTACAATAATAAAAACAGCTCACCAAAACAATTTACAGCACGACACAACTATTAAAAAATGCAAAGAATGAAGACACAAACTGCCTGCAAATATTACTAAATTTAATGCTATTTAAATGAACATTTTAACTGAAAATGACTACATAAAACTAGCGTTGAATGTAATGAAACATCAATTTCTGGGTGAGCCCCAGTGGATCTCGGAAGCTACAATGCTGAACCGTCATTAAAGTCGTCGAATGCTGAAGTCGTTGAACCACTTAACTGAAGGCAGAAAACAGGAGCCAGAGTGACAGATGACAGCCAGGCCACTAGCTACCCTCACCAAGAACTGAGTGTGGAATAGCCAGCTGGCCAGGTCTAGAGCATATGTGCAGAGGGTCTTGAGAGTTCTACTCCCGAGCCCAGCCTGAGGCCAGGCTCGACCTGTCCCCTACCTGCCAAACTCTTGATTTTCTCAGGCATATGCTTTCATTTCCTCTTATTGGATGCTGTCAAAGATCTTCTGCATGACCCGCTCCATACCGAGTGGGGGCAACAGAGACACTTGTATTCCCACTATAACACTACAAACTTCACATGACTGAACCTTACATAAAATATCCAATCTTCAGTAAAAGCTGTCTTAACTAGAAGATAAGAAAATGTGGCAACATAGTCACCACATACAAAATATCGACACATTTGAGGAAGTTGATAGAGCAGATAACTCACTTCCAACATACATAGAATGTATTGATACAAAATCAAGAAATACTGGTGCAGAAAGAATTATTTAGTTGAGCTGGAGTATCATACAACTCTCTTACTTCACACCTACAGTAGAGCACTGTTTAACACTTTGGCCCGGGCATGACGCAGCATTGCGTCATCCGTTTACTGGCGGTAATTCCGGGGATGACGCAGCATTGCGTCATCCACTTTAAATAATCGCCAAAAATCAGGTTTTAATCCAATTTTTTGGGGACTGGTTTTAAAATGCGCGCCGATGTCTTCCCATTTTCCATGTTGAGCCTCGTGGCCCTCAGGCGGCTTGGCACATGCCGTGGGCCCATTCCTTTCGCTCCACTGTTGTGACCAATGTCGCCTCCCCTCGCATCTCAAACGTGTGAACATTTCGCCTATTTTCCGTGGCTATATTTCTTACTGCGGCTTTAGAAACTATCTACGCTTACTCCACGATGGATAGTGATCATGAACAAGGCCCTTCCAGGAAGAAAATTGCGAAAGAAAGGCTTGAAAAGGGCGGGAATTGGGAGTGTAGGTGGAAGGCGGCTGAGCACTCACTCGCGCCTAACGCCTGGCCCGTCTTCAACTCGTCGGCGGTTGGAGCGTGACCAGGTTTTTTATTTGATATGCTAATGTTCCTCTAGAGAATTCTATTGCGAACCCATTGAGACCAAAATGAAAGACCTAGGATAAAAATTGAGGTGACCAGAGTGAAAATAGTGAAAACATTTTATCGCGTTTGCGCGCTCCTGGGTAACTCGTTCGCACTTTCTCTGTTTGCTGCGGGTAATTAGCCGGACTTTTGGAGTTTATATGCATTTATTGCTGTAGAGAATTCTATTGCAAACACAATGATACCAAACTTAATCTCATAGGACGAGAATTAAGGTGACAAAGTTGAAGAGAGTATACACTTCTCAGATTTTACGCGCACTCCCGTGACACCCTGGGTCCCATATCGCACAGTTGAGGGGTGGCGAGCAGGGTGCACCAAAGTGTTAATTACAGAATTAATTATCTGCCGAGATGAACAAATCCGTAGGAGCCGTGATGAGGATTCAAACCAATGCACTGGGTGTTCCCAGGGACACACTCTAGACGACTACACCACGACATGGTAAGAAGATTACAACCTCGGGTGCTACTGCACCCACGAGGATTCCTTGAGAATCCTCATGGGTGTAGTACTATCCCAGGCTACAATCTTCCTACCATGTCGTGGTCTAGTCATCTAGAGCTTGTGCCTGGGAACCACCACCACATAGGTTTGAATCCTCATCACGGCTCCTACGGATTTTCTCACTGATGCAGTCACAGTCACATTAGTGTGATTACTCTGTGTAATTATCTGCTACTTTATCACACTCATTAGAATCATAAGAGTTGACCAGACCACACACTAGAAGATGACGGGACGACGACGTTTCGGTCCGTCCTGGACCATTCTCAAGTCGACTGAGAATGGTCCAGGACGGACCGAAAAATCGTCGTCTCTTCACCTTCTAGTGTGTGGTCTGGTCAACATACTTCAGCCACGTTATTGTGACTCATCGCCTGCAATCATAAGAGTTGTCCCCAGTACTACCTGCTGTGTTCTATCATTGTGAAAATCTGCAGTGCTGTCTCCACCAGTGTCACAGTCTTCCCGGTGCCCGGGGGTCCAAAGATAACGTAGGGTAGCGGGCGGGTGCTTCCCTCCAGGACACGACAAACAGCCACCTTCTGCTCTGCGTTCAAGCTTTTGTTAAACCACTTCAAGACAGGCACATGTGCCAAGCTTTTCGTACCTGAAAACATTATGACAAATCTACTGTTAATAAGAATTTAAATTCATTACATTAGTTTTTTTATCAAGAATTTTGTGGAATGTAACTTTAAACAAAATAAACATAGAACCAATTGCAAAAGAAGAACTACAAAGATGACTGTACAGTCTTTCTATTGTCTAATGTAAGTGTTTAATGTTTATCCTTTGTACCTGAACACATCACGAGTTATATAATAATTTTTTTTGTTTTGCAATTTGTAGGGAAAACAGGCAGCCAGAGAATATATATCAAGATCCCCTCCCACTCTTCCTCCCTGCAAGGTCAAATTACAACCCCTCCCCCCCCCAGATTGCAAACCCAACAAACTAACTAACTCCTGAGTACCTACTTACTGCTAGGTGAACAGGGGCATTAAGTGATCGGAGAAGCATTCAACCATATCTGTCCCGCCCGGGATCCAAACCCGGAACTCCCGACTGTGCACTGAGAATGAACCCGACTGTTTTACCGGGACTTTTAAATGCCAAGTGTTGCCAAGTGTGTGACTAAATACACATGAAAAGGTTTAGAAAGTATGTAGATTAAACTATTTAATATCAAGTCCTTTTTGGTTATTAATAAGGAAATCACAATTTACCTTTTTTCCTTGTGAAAATTGGCAAAACAGGAACGATGTAATCACTGCGCGCTCCAGCTGAATTTTGATTGGTCGGCCATTTCTGGGATTTGGTAGAGTAATTTTTAGACTTTATGTTCTCTTTACGGTTCTTCTTCCTTTGACATGAGTCTGTTGACTTTATTTTTGTGAAATTATTTGGAAATGGCTCTTGAAGTAATGCGTCATGACGACAACATTCACTATCAACATGACCAGCATCTGTTTCACAGGCTTCACTATCAACACGACCAGCACCTGTTTCACAGGCTTCACTGTCCACACGACTAACACCTGCTTTACCACTTTCACTGTCTACATGACCGGCACCTGTTTCACAGGCTTCACTGTCCACACAACTAACACCTGCTTTACCACTTTCACTGTCTACACGACCAGCACCTGTTTCACAGGCTTCACTGTCAACACGACTAACACCTGCTTTACCACTTTCACTGTCTACACGACCGGCACCTGTTTCACAGGCTTCACTGTCCACACGACTAACACCTGCTTTACCACTTTCACTGTCTACACGACCGGCACCTGTTTCACAGGCTTCACTGTCCACACGACTAACACCTGCTTTACCACTTTCACTGTCTACACGACCGGCACCTGTTTCACAGGCTTCACTGTCCACACGACTAACACTTGCTTTACCACTTTCACTGTCTACACGACTGGCACCTGTTTCACAGCATACATTGTCAACAACACTATCACTCCTTTCCGAGGCTTTTCTATGATCAGTTTCCAAGAATTTAATATCTCGTGTTATTGTACAAGTCTGATTCTCTCCACAAACTCTTCCTTCCTTCGTTCTGTTGGCACGTTTATAGAAGCTCAGTTCAAGTGACCTCGGGAGAAACAGTGGTACATTCCCACCTTCAGCCCGTAGTGGTATTCTTTTCGTCGTTTTAACTTTGTGCACAGCAAGTCCCTTCTTTTCACATTGTTTTGGTAATGGAGCAGCCTTCGAGACACTTGAACGTTGCCATGTACGGAAATCTGTGACCTCCTCCACTGAAGAACGCGCAGCCGCTTCTGGTGTGTTACTATTTACGTTGTTTATACACGCTTTTCTGCCTGACCCAGACTTACTCCCAATTTCTATGTCTTCAGTGATGGAAATGCTGCCAAAATTTAGTTTCTTCTTCGTCAACTTTTTGGCATGAAAAGCGTCATTCTTAAAGCCAACACTTGTACTATTTCTAGACTCATCATCACTACAGCACATTGATGAATTGGAACTTGAGCCTGAAGAACTAACTCCAAATAATCTCGTCACAACAGGTATTCTAGGAGTGACTGGACTTGAATTTTTTCTCTGGGATTGTACTGCTAATCTTAAATCATCACTACCAATTTCAACATTAATTTTCTTCTCAACTAATGTCCTGGAATTATCATCAAATTCCTTGCTTTCCTTACAAGTTCGCCTCACAGTTGCCTCATTTTTAAGATTCTCAATTTCAACACCTATTTTATTTTGACTTGTATTGTGCTTCAATTCCATAAGCAATTTACCAGTGAAAGCCTTATTTTCAGCGACGTATTCGTTAGTGCAATATTTCTCCTCCACAGAGCTACATATAGCTTCGGGTCTTTGTTTCACTTGTACCTCTGTATCACTACCAATGTTTATGTTTTCCGATTGACTGATCTGGGTTATGAGATTATGGTTGACAGCAGTTATGTCCGGGGCCTTCCTTGCTCTGTAGGCTAGCGTGGGTGCTTCTGGGTCTATATAACACACCTGAGGAGGCTGAAGTTGCAGTTTGGAAGGAAAAAGAATATTGGGACCAAGCTGTTTCATGGCAAACTCCAAAGCAAAATGACAGCGACGTAGCGGAGTGCGACTGAAGTTGAATCGTACAGCATAGTCTTCCCCACGGTAATCACTGTGGAATGTCGGGTGAAACTTCAGCAAAACCTGAAAACACAAGAGAGTACATCATAGAATAAACTAGAATTACTAGCTTCAGGGAATTGTTTTTTTAATATGCTAAAGAAGTGCAACATTTATTACAAGCTTTGTTTCTTAAAGGAACTACTAATTTGTAAAGTAAATAATAACATATGGAAAGACTTTCAGGAATTCTGAAGCTTCTGAATTAGAGTCAGAGTTCAATAAATTACAATAAAGGCAAACTTAAGACAACTGCAAAAGTACTATATTTTCAGGCATATAGGTGTATTTTACAAAGATATTTTCCAGAAAAAATAATTTATGCTTCATTATAAATTTATTGAAAGTAATGATCATATGGTTTTTGAGGGGATGATTTAGTGCATGAAAGTACAATATGAACTTACTTGGTGGTGAACCAAAAATATGCATCATATCTGCCGGAAAATACTGCATTTCGCCTGCCAATCTGGCAACCATGGAATCCAAAGTACTGTGGTACATATAAATCTTTACCAAAACATCCCACTGGAGATTACAAGTAAGTAATTATCAAAAGAAGGAACCAAGCCAGGAAGGCTCTGTAGTACAGTACCGTCAAAAGTGCAGGATATTCAAAAGTCGCTAAAGATCACTAAGGATGGAGATTACAAGCTTTCTAGAACATTCACTCAAAGGTACATTTTTAAAACGTCTTTGACACAAATGATGTAGAAGCATTATGAATGAGGCACTGTTAACACTTACAAAATTAAGTTGAGTAAAATTCAAAGCCCAATTCTTGTGGCTGCTGAATGGCTGCCCAGAGTTTAACCACTGCCGCTCCAGAGCTAGACATGATCTGCCAGACGTCTGTGATCGTGGCTGCTACCAAAAACAAATGCCCTTTTCACGGTTGGAGTCTCATTACCTACAGATGGATTCCCAGGCCATTTTCAGGCATGTTGCCATTACTTATGGCATCTTGGTTCTTGCTTCAAAAGTCTAATGTATAGTAGACATGAAGAGTGCACCCTCCTAAACCCACATCTCCGTATAAATGATTCCTCGACTTAATAAGGGTCCAGGACGGATTGAAACATTGTCGTCTCTTCCTCGACTTAATAAGGGTCCAGGACGGATCGAAACATTGTCGTCTCTTCCTCGACTTAATAAGGGTCCAGGACGGATCGAAACATTGTCGTCTCTTCCTCGACTTAATAAGGGTCCAGGACGGATCGAAACATTGTCGTCTCTTCCTCGACTTAATAAGGGTCCAGGACGGATCGAAACATCGTCGTCTCTTCCTCGACTTAATAAGGGTCCAGGACGGACCGAAACATCGTCGTCTCTTCCTCGACTTAATAAGGGTCCAGGACGGATCGAAACATCGTCGTCTCTTCCTCGACTTAATAAGGGTCCAGGACGGAGCGAAACATTGTCGTCTCTTCATCTTCTGGTGTGGTGTTTGATCATCGATTCCTCTAAACAATGGACCAAATCTGTAAACTAAGTTCCCACAGATCATATGTCTTCCCAATTTTGGCTCTTCTCCAAATGCTCTCCCACATTATTATCCAATGCCAAAGCCAAGAGGAGTGCCACCTTGTATGTAATACTGTAGTCAAGGACCAAGTCCAAACACCAATTTGGATCCAAAGACAAATGTACAAGGTGAAAGTGGAAAAAAAAAGCATGACCAAACTTAAAGAAATGACACAAGAAGAGATCAGTCCCAAACCCCAAGAGGAAAGGCTTGAAAGGGTGCCAACCTGTAAGACTGTTGGCAACCTTATATTGCAGACTGGACAAAACCTGCAAATGAGAAATGAAGATACCTGACACTTGCCTCTCACATACTTGAAAGTAAATTAAAAAATAAGACATGTAAGTTGATAAAGCGGAGAAGTGTTAACACAGATTTTGTTGACACACAGAAATCACATTAACATGGTATACTGTATATCAGTGAGAAAATCCTCTAGGGGCAATGAGATCTCTGCAAACACACAGCGTAACTGTCCCTTGAGGTTATCTTGAGATGATTTCGGGGCTTTTTAGTGTCCCCGCGGCCCGGTCCTAGACCAGGCCTCCACCCCCAGGAAGCAGCCCGTGACAGCTGACTAACTCCCAGGTACCTATTTACTGCTAGGTAACAGGGGCATTCAGGGTGAAAGAAACTTTGCCCATTTGTTTCTGCCTCGTGCGGGAATCGAACCCGCGCCACAGAATTACGAGTCCTGCGCGCTATCCACCAGGCTACGAGGCCCCTATTTTCCATCTTGTTACAACTTGTAATAAAGATGTTACATCTTGTTATAATGTTTTTATTTTATGATGTATTAGAACGTTGTTACAACTTGCTATATATTGGTTGTTATAACCTGTTAGGTGTTAAAACGTGTTCGAACATTGTAGCAACATCGTAGTTTTGTCGTGTGTTTGGCGGGATGGTAGAGTGGAGCGGCTGGCAGTGCCAGGGTCGTAGGTTCGCACCCACCTCCTTGCCCTAGTCAGTTTTCTCATAGATTTTGTTGTCGGTGGTCTTGGAGAGGCGGAGATCTGGTTAAGGAACTGGATGCAGGCAAGAAGAGAGAGGGGGGGGGGGGGGGGGGAGGGGGGGGGTTGGGGACAAGGACTGAACTTGCCACTTTGGATCCATCAATATGACGCAGCCTGCAAAGCTTGCTTGTTCAGACAAAGTGGCAAGCAACATTTACACTAGTGGGACCAGATATATGAAGCTCTGTTTAAACCAAGACATCAGGCAACTGATATAATGGCCTCCCAGTCTGGAAATGGAGCCTTGTACATTGAAAAGTGATGGTTCAATGCAGAGGCAAACAGATCATCCTGAGGACGAATGAATGTCACCCAAGATAAGTGTGATATTAAAAGATGACCTGTACATTCGAAGCTATACATATACACAGCACAATATGTTACCTGTGTGTGAAGAACTTCATGAATATAGCCCTCGTATTCTAATTCGTTACTGTCACAAGGGCTAGATGCAATAACTGTGTCGCCAATCATGAGAGATGGACGCTTTTCTGACAGTCCTGGCACCACAAGACTCAGGTACTCCCCATGCACAGAGAAATTGGTTCTCGCCATATCAAACTGAAAAGATAATTTTTTTAGCATCGAGTAAAATGAAACTATCTTTTAATAACCCAACTCGTACATGTGAGAGAAAAGCAGAGTGATAATATTTTGGTCCGTCCTCGCCCCTTATCAAGTCACGTGAAAGGAAATGTGTGTCAATATATTGCCATTCTCTCACTCTCTTCCTTGACAACTTGGTAAGGGTCCTGGATGGGCTGAAAATGTTGTCCCTCTCCTCTCTTTTCATATGTGAGAGTTTGGTTATTATTTTCCAACCACACTGATGACCTAGTCTCTACAAACGCTCCTTTCTGAGAAACAGCGCCTCGTCTGATCCCCAAGCTAGATCTTTATGGCCCACCTGCACACAAGTCACAGGCAGGCTCGAAGTGACCTATCTCCCCACAAAGAATGCATCTCTTGAGGTTATCTTGAGAAGATTTCGGGGCTTAGTGTCCCCGCAGCCCGGTCCTCGACCAGGCCTCCACCCCCAGGAAGCAGCCCGTGACAGCTGACTAACACCCAGGTACCTATTTACTGCTAGGTAACAGGGGCATCAGAGTGAAAGAAACTCTGCCCATTGTTTCTCACCGGCGCCCGGGAGCGAACCTGGGACAACAGGATCACACGTACAGTGTTCTGTCCGCTCAGCCACCGGCTCCTTACACACACACCCACGAAAACTGCATACAAATCCCACGACCAACCCTGACGAGAGAGCACAGTTGCAAGTTGTGTGTATTCGGCATATGCTACACAAAACCCATCACTCAAAAGATGGGAATCTACAAGGGGTAGCAATGGGCTAATCCTACACAAGCTATGTTTACTCCTCCAAGTGAAGCCCGGAGAGTAGAACCGCTACAGATTTACGCAATTCAGAAAATGAAGCAACACAGTCTCTGACCAACCAGCCAGCTGACCACTAGAAATATACTGATATACCCATTTTCCCTCTCTCCCTAAATACATATATACTCTAAATAAGTATACCATTTTGAAAGCTACTTGCCACAGTTGAGAGATAGATCAATTGGAGGCTGGCATGTGAACTGTGGCCAGAGTGGAGCATAATGCCCTGACTCGGGGGGGAAAACTTAAGGGGGTTCCAGATAAGTAAAATGACGACGCTTTCTAAAGACATTGCAATCAAAAAATTGCCAAGGCTCAAAATGATTATATTTGAGTTAGACGCACACACACGTTTGCTCAATAACAAATTTAAAATTATATGACAAACCAATAAGGTCTTCCTATTTCAGGTACGTAATGGCTTTATGCAGGCGATGTGTCACAATAACGTCGCTGAAGAATGTTGACCAGACCACACACTAGAAGGTGAAGAGACGACCACGTTTCGGTCCATCCTGGACCATTCTCAAGTCGATTGTGATCACAATCGACTTGAGAATGGTCCAGGACAAACCGAAACGTCGTCGTCCCTCCACCTTCTAGCGTGTGGTCTGGTCAACCTAATGGCTTTACAAAGTTTGTGTCATTTATTAACCATACAAAAAAACTGAAGTAACATATATTTTGTGTATTAATTAGTTGTTTAATATTGCAAATTGCCATTTATTGCTTTACATTTTGTTAACCACAAATGTTCACCACCATTATTTCTAATGTTATTGCATTGAAACACAATGTTCACAAATATGTACCTACGTTACTTGTAGTATTTAGTTAAAACAATTGAAAAAATACATACCTGTGTTTTTTGTAGTCATTCTGTTAATGCAATTTAATAAATACAAACATGAGTTACTTATAGTCATTTTGTCAAAACATTTTCACAAACACGAACCTGTCTAATTTGTAGTGTCATTTCTATTTCTTCTAAGTGCAACAACGCAGAAAGCTTTTCTTTATGGTTTTCTGATGTAAGAGGATCGGAGAGCGAGGGAGCCACACTGAGAATATCTACATTGCTCCTGATAGCTTGCCAAAGTTGCTTTGGAACGTGTGCCATTGGCAGAGACACTGACAAGAATGCTGCCGATTTGAAGGGTTTTTCGCCTCTGATAATCTCTCTGTCTTTAGACTGGAAGTGCAAGGAATTTTTAAACTTTTGCTTTGGCACGTAAGGAGCAACAGGTGCTAAGCACATCATGTTATGATCTTCAACATTAGCACTCGCATATCTACCTATCTGGAAATCGCCAAAGTCAAAGATGCATAGTTGCCTTGCCATTCCGAGGAGCTTGCCGGTACACTCGAATCGGATATCGACTACCACATCCCGATCAATGGTTACAGGAGTGCCATCTACTATTCCCCCAGCTGAGCAATGGACCACATTAAACTGGCACTCTTGTGTAGCAGTGACAAAATAGATCCTCTTCAAAGTTTTAGAAACTGACCCGTTGTTTTTTATTGAAACGCTGATGTACGACTTGGCTCCTAATACTAGAGTTGGGAACCTGAAAAATAAAATGATCATAATAGTAAAAGGTGGAAGCACCGATGTATGATTAGGACCCTAATACTACAGCTGGGAACCTGAAAAATAAAATGATCATAATAGTAAAAGGTGGAAGCACCGATGTATGATTAGGACCCTAATACTACAGCTGGGAACCTGAAAAATAAAATGATCATAATAGTAAAAGGTGGAAGCACCGATGTATGATTAGGACCCTAATACTACAGCTGGGAACATGAAAAATAACAGTCAATCATAATGGTAAACATAAATAAATTATTTACCCTGTATTAAGACAACAAAACATTATTAAGTACTGTACTGCTCATGAAAATTACGCACAAAGAAAAATCACGCTAAGAGTTACATAATGGAAAAAGAAAATCACGCTAAGCATAGCATAATGAAGAACATAGAAAACCAGCATTGAATGTAATGAAACGCTATTTACCGCGGCAACAGTCAATCGATGGAGTTCTAGGCCAACCGGGGACCAGAGCCAGAACCTGGCCCCCTCAAGAGAGGCATGAGGAGCAATGGCCTAAAGACACCCCTGTGTAATTGGAAGCAGTCTTTGTCTGCCATCTACCAGGTCAGGCACCCAGAAAGGTAGGAATTCCAAAACAAACTCCAGCTGGTCAAAAATTGCAAACCAAAAGCCGAACCGGCTAGCAGAACTCTCCAATCGAAAACAAGCAAACAAGCTCCATAGGCACAATCAGAGAACACTGTATAAACATCAGAGGTCCGCAGTTGTTCAACGTCCTCCCAGCGACTATAAGAAATATTGCCAGAACAACCGTGGACATCTTCAAGAGAAAACTGGACTGTTTTCTAAGAGAAGTTCCGGATCAGCCGAGCTGTGGTGGGGTATGTGGGCCTGCGGGCCGCTCCAAGCAACAGCCTGGTGGACCAAACTCTCACAAGTCAAGCCTGGCCTCGGGCCGGGCTTGGGGAGTAGAAGAACTCCCAGAACTCTATCAACCAGGTATTAAGCAGGTATCATGCACCAGTCGCCGCACAGCCGTCTGCGCAACTCCCCTCTCCCCAGGAAGGGGAAGGGGGAGGTTTCAGACCTCTGTGTTGGCTACTCCACCCCAGTTCAGTGGCTAAATATCAAAAACGCAAAAAAACGCTGACCGGAGGAAGGGAGGGAGGGATGCCGGGAAGCCTCCGGGTCTCACCCAGAAAATGGCATTTCATTACATTCAACGCTGGTTTTCTGTGGATTTCTCTTCGGCTCTCTGGAGCCACCTAACCAAAGATAAAGGAAAAAAGGGACTTACTCGGGAGGCGGCTGCCACTCGCTCTTCAACTCAAAGTCGAGACAACTGGCTGCAACCTGCGACCCACGACTACACATGCCCGAGAAGGGCCAGGAACATTAACCAAGTACCGTGCGGCCAGGACCCTGTTCAACCTCCAATCCAACACCACCATACCCCGAACGTCAGCCCAAGACATATTACCAAAAAAAGCTACAAACTTACGAATGTTGTGGGCACGGGAATAGACCGCAGGCTGGCTGGACTGAATAATCCTGCAGGTGACCTGGGAGACCCGCGCCCTGAAGCAGGGGAAGAAAGGAAACCGGGTCCACCCAAAGCGTGTTCCCTGCCACAGAGGCCTTGGCGCGCAAATAACGAAGAGCCGCAAACGGACACAAAACATGATGCACCCCCAGCCGAACCAACAACCCAAGGACCCTTTCAGAAAGCAGCAGACATTCTTAGCCAGAAAAGGAGACGGTTGCAAACCAAAAGAACAGAAAACTAGGACCAAAAGGCCCGGCACTCAATGCCGGGCCTTCAGGCATTCCTGCAAAAAGCATTCAGTCAAGAACTGCCCGAAACGCTTTGCGTAATAGTGGCTTTAGGCATTGTGTGTACTAGCTCTATCTATAAAGCCAACAAACTTTGTAAATCTCTTTATGTATGTACCTTACCTAAATAAAGATTATTATTATTATTATTATTATAAGAAGAGAAAAGAAGCGCAAGACCAAAGGCAAATTCCCACGGGTGCGCAAATCCTCGGCAACCAAAGACGCCGAAAGATGCTCAAACTAACCTCCCCCCCCCCACCAGGTAAACCTGCATAATGATAGAAGTTTCTTGCCACTCAAGCATGCAGGTGCGACAGAACCCATGCCACACCCCAGTGAAAAGAATGAGCAGTGTGCCAGCCAAGAAGACTCTGGAACCTCCAAACACACCCAATACAGGGAAGAAGAACCCAGCTCAAACAAGGACGGATCCATCACAGAGGCAGAATCTGGGTCTCGCAGAAGGTAAACAGCAAGCGCCTCCCGAACTTCCATAGGTGAAATACGAGAGGCAGAAAACCTCCGGAAAGAGGGAGCTGAGGAACCCAAGGGAACCCGGAACCAAACCCATGTAGGAGCCAACCCCAAATATACTTATACTGTACAGGGAAGGGAGGTAAGAAAACCCCTTCCACCTGCAACAACAAAGCCCGCAAAGAGGGCACTAACACCCAAGCGGGGTCAAAGGGGGCCCAAGGCCCACAGGTTGACTCCTCCCCAACCCTGGGATCCTCCAAGTTGGGACCCTGGGGCAGAGCAGTCCTCCATACCCTCTACCCCTGAAGAAAAGGCAGAGTCCAGGGAAAAGGCTGAAAAGAAGGAGGGCCTGCTGGTGGGACCCAGAAGCCTCGGCAGGAAGAACCGGCTCGAATGCCTCTGTCCGCAACCTGAACGGGGCAGCCCCCGAAGTTGCCCGAGTCTCATTACCAATTAAACACCGCTCCAACTCCGAAACCCCTAAGACATTTGGGAGCCGGAAGCAGGGGGGAGGGGGGGGTAGCAGGGTGAACAAAAGGGAAAGCACCAAAGAGCACATTAAGAACCAAAGTCGAAGCAACTAATGCCCCTATGTAACGCTCCACCACCACTGCCACGTCTCCCACCCCCACCATCACTGCCACATTACCCATCCTTATTGCTAGTTTATGCTAGCAATACTTCACATTTTCAGTTACAGTAAGTATATTCAATTCAGGTATAGTACATACTTCTCATAATAACAAATAATCCACCAAACACATTTTTAAAAGCAAAAGATACGGTCTTACCTGAGGGACTCTGTAATAACGATGTTATTCTTATTTTCTAACATTTTCTCCGTCTTATTCTCTCGGGTAGACAAAGCACAATTGGGGAAGTCAAGTAAATGTCTTGTAAGCCTCGACGTTCCCAGCTCCTGTAATACACAGTTTACAAAGAAATGTCGGGGTACTAATGCGGCAATCAAATCTCCGGTTATTGGTCGTGAGACACACAAATTGTCCTTAATTTGAGCTTTATATTGATACAGTCATGGACCACTGAGGGAGGTGTTTCCCTGATCACCACTAATCATCGCACACAATTTTACGTAATAATTTTAATTCTTAAGCTAACTCAAACTCCAACCACTTGGGCTGGATGGTAGAGTGACTGTCTTGCTTCATGCAGGTCGGCTTTTAATTCCAGACAGTCCAAGTGGTTGGGCACCACTCCTATTTCCCCGTCCCATCCCAAATCCTTAACCTGACCCCATTCAAGTGCTATATAGCCATAATAGCCTGGTGCTTTCCCTTGATAAATCCCTCCCCCTCTCTTAAACAATGCAGGATATTTTGATACATTGTCCTTTGCAAGAAAAAATCGATGGTCATGTCATGGTGTCTAAGATGTTTGCTTGGGCGTGCCCACAGCATAGGTTCGAAGCCTCCTCTTGGGTCCGACTGATTTTCTCATCACTATATCACATTAATGTGATTTCTTTATTACATTACTTGGAAAAGTTACATTCCAAGATTAGTCCATGCTATCAATGAGGATGGTCTGGACAGAAGAGTGGAGTACTGTGAATGGTACTCAGCAGGATGTGCAGAAGATGCACACTTTCCAACAAAGACTGTGTAGTGACGAGGCTGTTGCAATGTTCCCAAACCACATGCATAAACAGCTTAGATTTTTCTAACCCTTCTATGTGTTCGAGCAAACAGTGTGCCTTTGTTGTGTGACTGATCTTTGAGGGAACAAGTGAGAATTTGAAAATAGCCTGGTTACTGGTGGGCAAGAGAAGTCACCTAACGCACACGAACGTGATGAATATGTGAATAAATATCAAGGCCTCGTACGTCGGAATTGAACCTCTTTGAGGAGTTCAGGGACACTGGTTCAGTTCCATTATAAATCAGTATCTACTCAACTATGGAATCCTGGGAAGTGATAGCACTAGACTGTGGAAGCTGGCAAGGCATCTGCCTGGACAGGACAATAAAATACCCCTAAGCCACAATGTGAGCTAAATGTAACCAGATCCCAGAACTAACCTGGATGCCAGCAGACCAAAGATCAGAGTTCACTTCCAGAGCTCGCCAACAAAAGTTGCGCTGATGGCTCTCGATTGCTTCAACCATCACCGTGTCGCCTGCTTTCACTGATGCCGCCTCTGCTACAGCACGAGTACAGTATATCTTAAAGAAATACATATGCTGAGCTGAAGACTATAGATACTAACAGGAGTAAACATTAATTTTAAGTATTAATATTAAAATATTCCAACAAAATCATCTTCATGAAGGAAGCAATGCTAAGAAACAAGACAAAAAGAATACTGGTGTATAGGGGTTATCTTGAGGTTATCTTGAGATGATTTCGGGGCTTTTTAGTCCCCCCGCGGCCCGGTCCTCGACCAGGCCTCCACCCCCAGGAAGCAGCCCGTGACAGCTGACTAACTCCCAGGTACCTATTTACTGCAAGGTAACAGGGGCATTCAGGGTGAAAGAAACTTTGCCCATTTGTTTCTGCCTTGTGCGGGAATCGAACCCGCGCCACAGAATTATGAGTCCTGCGCGCTATCCACCAGGCTACGGGGGGATTATATTAAAGTAATTATACATAATTTATAAATAAATAACCCAAGTTACACTTATGAATGAAAATAATGATGTTCTGACTCTGTCCCACACTTGCTCAGTTACGACTTGGTAAAGGTCTAGGATAGACCGTAAAGTCATTTCATATCATGTGTGGGGATTGGGCTCACCTTTTTAACCACTGCACTGCGCAAAGTGCCTTTAGGCGCTCTGAGAGTTGTGCTAATTATTTTTAATTAGGCTATATTTTAATAATTATCACTTTGACGTAGCTGGGTCGTAAATTTACGATGTGTTTATTTCTATCGGTTACGTAGCAGAGTCGTAAATAGCCGCGCAATTTAAAAAAAAACATTATAAAATCCAATTCTTATTCGATCGACTTGGGGTTAGTATGAAAATGTTTGCCATTAAATTTCTGTTTTCTCTAATAGGCACATGGCCTATTTGGGAGAACGGCATTGTATTGTAACTTAGTGGAAAGACTATTGAGTTGTTGACACAACGAGGGTAATCGCCCACTGCACACACTCTTGGTGTGGGCCGCGATCATGATTCTACATTTATATGCATATGTCTGTGTAGGGAATTTTATTGCGAGTTCAGTGATATAAAATTTAACGCTGTAGGACTAATGTGGAGCTGACAACAAACAAAAGAGTATGAACATTTTGTTGCTGTTTGGGCGTCACGGCGAGTGATCTACGTTTTTATTTATTTCGTGGTGGGATAGCTAATGCTTTGGTGACATTTTATACATATGATCTTGTAGAGAATTTTATTGCCAACACATTGATACCAAAATGAAATACGTAGCTCGAGAATTGGTGTCAGGAGAGTGAAAAGATTACACACTTTTTGGTGTTTACGCTCAAGAGCCCAAAATGCCGCTCTCACAATGCGCTATTTTTTTTCACAAGTGCCGGGCACGTTAAAGTGTTTTAAAATATTTTTTAATGTTTTTATTACTCTTCGTGTTTTGAAATGGAAATAGTCGAGTTTGGAAACATTTTGATAAGTGAACATTTACCTGAACTTTACCTGAACATTTATATAAACAAAAATATGTTCTTGACAATTGCACCAAAACGTTTTTGCCGAAACTAGGTGCGCAGTGCAGTGGTTAAGCAAGGAAAAGATTTGAGCTTAGCCAATCAACAGAGGTTAAAAGGGGCCGACACATCTCTGGATACAATCAACGGAGGTTACACGAGGCCGACACACCACTACCAACACCTGCGTGAAGATGGGTAACATTGATGGGGTAAGAGATGGGCAACGTCACTACCACCACCCAATGTGATCAGGTTACCTTGAGGTGCTTCTGGGGCTTAGTGTCCCCGCGGCCCGGTCGTCGACCAGGCCTCCTGGTTGCTAGTACACATATCTTGTAAAACTTGAACTGTGGTACCAGATGGTGCCTTCCAAACTACGTGTAAATCTGGTACCACTTCTGGTGGTAATACTTTTAAGCCCATTGTGGTCCAGAGTGGTCTGCTGGTATCACTGGGTGTATCTGGGAGGTCCAGGGTCAAGGGTGTGAGCCCATCGTGGTCCAGTCAGTAGTGGGTGTATCTGGGAAGTCCCAAATACACCTAACTTAACACAATTGACAGCCAATCAGTAACACGGCAAACCTAACTACCGGTGTGCAAAGGGTCACAGGAGTTCCAACAGAATACTCGAGTACTGATCATGTTCAATAAACCAACAATGAATGGCACTGTCAATTTGACAGGCAATAATCATATACAATAATTATGTCACACAGCAACTAAATGTGTGGTGCATGTAAAGCTCAAATTCACAGTCGAGTGTGATGTCGTGATATCACACAGATAACCACGCATACACCGACAGGTGTGTTGGTCTCCACCTATACCTGTAATGGGTACTGAGAAGTTGAGACCTGTGGTTGACCACTCAGATCAACACACAGATAGACACAATAATAAAGAAACAAGATCTTGTACATACAGGTAGGCCACCTCTCTTATCCACTCACTCATGCACATTCATGCAGACCTCGAAGGTGGCCTGACAGCTGGTTTCGCTCGTTACATGAGACCACTGATCACAAGCTTTCCCAATACACTGTACGTGACACGGCGGGGTACTCGCAGAAGGGCGTGCTGTATGTCTAACACACACACACTCTTGATGGCACTGGCGGTGAGTAAGGTTGTGACAGGAAGTGACGTCATGTAGTACAGTGAGGCAGGGAGAATAGCGGCTGGCTACACACACTGGACTGAGTAGCAGCTAAATTATTTCACCATGCAGGTGCCTGTGTATAAGTTCACACAAGGTTATTAGGCGATGGCACTTCCTTAATTCACTCCAGGTCACTCCCAGACGATCTCAATTTGTCACCAGGGGTTACCCGATATCAGTCGGTTTTGATCTGGTGATTCACAGACTTTGTCACTCTAGAAGATTTCTAAACAATATAGTCACGATCACGATTCTGGGCAAGCATTGGTATATCGAACAGAACCCCGAGTTTAACTTGATGGTGAGGAAGAGATGGTGTGTTCTGTCTATTGACCGATAGAGAGAAGGACACGTCAAACACGTACGGAGTTCCTCACGAGAATAATCTTACCTTGGATTGCACGATTTCTCGTGTCACAAACACCAGGTCCACGCACTGACCAATAGCGTTGCAAAGCAGGTGCCGGGCCCAATGATACTGATCGCTACATATGGGTAGAAGAGTGACGTCATGACCACGTCACGACTACGTCACGAATACGTCACTGTTCTTCATCGCAACGGTTGAGGCGGACCCCATAGGTCAGAGGTTCTTTCTCACCGTGCTGGTGTCCCCTCTCTCTCACGTCTGGCACCTTCAACTGCGTACTCCCTGGTTATCATTTGCTATGGCGCAATTGCTTAACTCCCCTGTACATACTTTCTGCCTGGACATATGGCGGCCTCCGTATGATACCAGTATTCCTGGTTATGTGGGCATCCTGGGGGCACCCAACATGACAGTTTTCATCCAGGGTTAAGAGAGATAGGGCCCTGTGCACGACTAGTGCACAGTGCACTGTAATGAGGCATTCAAATCAGCTGTGGGAGAATCTCGAGAGACCATACCCTCATACTTGGTAATATTAGTTTGCACCTTGTCAATGCAGTTAAAGATCTGGGTGTTTACTTCAGTTCATTATCATTCAATGGGCATCTACAAAATTGTTAATGGTTGTAATTTTCACATCCATAATCTGTATTCATTAAAAAATTTCTTTATAGTAGAGCATCTTAACCCTCATCCACTCCACTGTTTACTATAGAAAGGATTACTTACTTTGTGGACTTGCCAAACAACTTGCTAAAAAGATTCAAACTGTACTGAATTAAGCAGCTAAACTATAATTTACACTTCTGTTTTTGTTTTTATTTATATATATAAGGTACATTGGGTTTGTGAGAGTACAAAAAACTGATGTGTTTACAATCTTTCAAAGCCACTAACACGCATAGAGTTTCGGGCAGGTCTTATAACAGTACTTTTGTTATAGTACTTGCCACTGATCACTATTTGCAGGAGCTCCAATGACTTTCTATGAAGGCAAGGATTGAATTTAACCTGTTTATTGACATTCAAGGCTATATAGCTTAATACACCCAAGCACTGGCCCTATATGCATAGTCCCTTTACAACGAGATCTGGAATAACTACAGAATGAGTAGACATCACACGTACACATGAGTAGAAAACGTGTGCGTTGATGTGGGTGACAAATCTTTTGGGCTGCAAATCTGTGAGGGGCCAGTTGATCTTTGAAGAACAGAACATATTGGGCACACTGGCAGCGTTCAGGGTGTAGTAACCTCAGGCTAGGACACCAGATGATGTTGGAGACGAATTTGTAAATACTGTGTAGAGCAACCTCAATTATCCAGACCAATTGCTACCCTTCAGACGCCCAGATGACTGAAATTAAATTAACTAAAAGACCGAAAGACGTAATTTTTCAATAATTTTGTAGTTTTATTTTGGCATTTACCTGAACAGATGAGCTAAACAATAGCTACAACGGTGTTTTATTATGAGTGCACTACTGTATATGTAGCAAACTAATAAAGTTTTATTATCCATATCTATACCAAAGAATGTCTGTCGAACGTAGGTGGTCAGATGCCTGCGGCAAGTCTCATCCGACTTCACACACGACACATGTGGGGGTATGTGAGTGTCATAGGCTAGTCAGGGTCAGCCCAAGTGGCAGGCTTTAAGAAATATCTCCGTCTTAAACGCCACCCACCGTTATTTTTATGAATAAAATACAATCGTGGGCTGTGAAAACTGCAGAGAAGATGGGAGGGGAGGAGGGGGGGAAAGAGGTGAGAGAGGAGGAGAAGGGAGGAAGAGGTAAGAAAGGAGTACAAGGGAGGAAGAGGTGAGAGATAAGGAGAAGGGGGGGGGGGGGGAGGTGAGAGAGTAGAAGGGGGAAGAGAGGTGTAGAAATAAGAGAGCAACCCGTCCACCTGTACAGAGAGTACCTATTGTGATGGTCGTCAATAGTGACAAAATTCGTACGTACTAAGCTTTTAAATAGTAGTATACTGACTAGTAAGGAATTCTTTAAAAATAAACGAAGCTAAAAAAAACTTAAATATTCACAGGCCTAGTATAGCACACACACATACTATATTAGGCTTCAGATATCATGTATTAGGCTTAGGTAAGTTAGGTTAGTTTATCTTTGCAACACTAAGTAAAAAAAAAAAAGTTTCCCAGTTTGTCTAACTCAATAGTGGCAATTCCAAGTTGTAATTTCATTGTATGTCAGAATATATACCATGATCCTCATCGTTACTGTAAGTACAGTATTACCACAACAAGACGATGGGCTGAAGAAGGGAAAAGGTAAAAGAAGATGGAGATAGTTGGGGAGGAATGGGGGAGGGGGTAGGTTGGGGGGGGGGGAGAAAGTGGAGAAAGTGGAGAGAGTGTGAGAAAGGGAAGGGGGGGGGGGTGGAGATTAGGAGAGGGTTGAGAGGGAGGGGAGATGAGGGGTGAGAAGGGAAATGTTCGAGAAGGTGATGAAAGAGGGGCGGGAGGGTGACATAGGGAGAGGGGAGAGGAGGAGATGGGGAAGGGACAGAGGATGGGGAAAGGGTTAAGACCCAGGCACAGCCAGCCACCCTATCCAGTCTGATATAAAAAAGTGTTCTCAGTGTTGAATCCCACCGAGACTTCCCTGATGATGGGGGGCCGCCCACCATTAATTTGACACACACACCAGAAATATTCAGGTCTCTCCAGGCTGGAGACCTGGATATTTCTCTATCCAGTTAATCCAAGACTCCATAAAACAGGAACCTAGATATCAGGGGTTCCACTGTATCATAAATAGAATAAATTACCCCAAGACAGGAGTGTTTATGTCATGCTTGCTGTCTGTGCATTCTGTGGCTGCTGTGTACAGTGCCCTAGCTCAGATTAGTATATGATCAGTCCCAGACCATGATATGAAATAACATATATCACTACTGAAATCATATTGTCAACACCTATGCATTTGAATTAATTACATCCATATGCAGGCGATGAGTCACAATAACGTGGCTGAAGTATGTTGGCCAGACCGCACACTAGAAGTTTGAAGGGACGACGACGTTTCGGTCCGTCCTGGACCATTCTCAAGTCGATTGAGAATGATAAAAAAAAGCTGGCTGCCCTGATGATTGGCTCTTGGAGGTATTTTTCTATCAAGAGTTTCTTGCCTAATCTCGGTGCTTGTCCAACTACCATTACATATCCTTGGCTTGCACTGTGTGTCCACAGCAGCATCCTGCCTTCCTGCTCTCTGGCTGGTTGCAGCCAACTGCTGTTGGTGGCTCCAGTACTGTATTATATACCAAGCCATGAGTCCCAAGAAAGTCAGTGGTAAGGTTCAACCTAAGAAAACACATGTGAGGATGACCATAGAGGAAAAACAAGTCTCTATGGAAAGGTTCTTAGTGAGACAAACAAGCAGTGAGCCACAACCAGGTCCTAGTGGTATGCAGGCAAAACATTGGAGAGAGAGTACCCCAGAGAAGTCATCACTGCCTGATGTTATAATGGAAGGGGACTCCCCTTCCAAACACTAACACCTCTCCTCCTCCTCCCCCCCTCCCCTTCCCTCTCTCACAGTCTTCCATAAGCCAACAAGAGTCATCAATAAAGGTAAGCTATAACTTGTACATACTGTAGTACAAAATGTGTGTGTGTATTATGTATGAAATGTAATTTGAAGTTAATATTTTTGGGAGTGTGGAACAGATTAATTCAATTTACATTATTTCTTATGGGAAAATTAGTTTCAGGTTGCGAATTTTCGGTTTACGAGCCGTCTCTGGGAACGAATTAAATTTGAAATCCGAGGTACCACTGTACTGTATATATTTTTCAGTTTCTCTCGGCACTGTTGCACTTTCTCTCAGGTGCAAACAAGTTGTGTAATTGACATTTCAGAGTGTTTTTTTTCTTGGCTTTCTGGGGATGTGGGCATTTTTCCCACAATTGGGAATATCTGGGAATATCTTGAATTCTTCACGTTTTTACTTATTATTCTTAGTCACTTTAATATGGACTTTATTTGTTTATCTTTGCAAGACTAGCTAAATAGTAGTTTTCTGGTTTGTGGTTTTGTGATACTAGCGATAGTGTCACTATCTGGGTGGAGGCACCCTGCAAGGCACCGTCTGGCACTCGTGAAGGCCCGATGCTCGACTTTGCCAACACTTCCCGTTTTATCCTCCGATGTTTCACCGATTATTTTATCACTTGTTTTTCTTTATTTACATCAACAGACAGCTATTTTATCCTATAACCTTATGTGCACCATACATGTAAAACAGACAATAATTTTTTTAAAATCATCATATTATGATGACCGCATTCCCCTAGTAACATTCACGACGATAACTGCACTTGTACCATGAAATGGTAGCAGGATTTTTTCCATGAGTCGAGGTAAACTCCATTACACCCACATAGACCTATTATATCCATATTTGCATCATACAGGTAAAACCCAGACAATAATTTTTTAAACCTTCATATGATGATAACCGCAATACCGCGTGAATCGACAATTGACGATAACCGCTGTCTTCAGGGTTTATACCAAATTGTTAAAAATTTTACCTCTTGGTTTATGATGCAAAACGTAGGGTAGCAGTGAGTGACTTCTCCCCGCACTCTCTTTCTCCTGAGCGGCTTACACGACACCACTTGGACAATGCCCTCCATCTTGGCTCTGTCCCCACCACGTGCAGTAGACGAGTTGTCAACCTCACAGATAACCCAGTCCCCTACAGACAGTATACAAAATAATTAAAAGCCAAGAAGTTAATTGTGAATTTGTTTTTATTATTCTTATAACTTAATAGGACATTCTAGTACATATAGATTGACAAGTATTGTACTACAAATGGTCACATTTGGCCAGCTTGGCCATTTATCTTATTTAACTATACAGTACTGTATTTAAAACAGATAGGTCAATCCACACACACACATAAAATGAAAGTGATGACGTTTTGGTCTGTCCTGGGTCGAGTTATTTTTTCGGCCACGTTACTGTGACTATTCTCTGCACAAAACAAAAGATATTCATTACATTAAAAACAAAAACAAAGAAAAAATCATTAAGTGCCATTGTCTAGGTGAGCCCCGGAGGTTCCCTGGAGCTATCGGGCTAATGTGTGATATATTAAACCGGGGCGTTAGTCTATCAAGTTCAGCCTACAGGGGACCACGAGCCAGAACCTGGGCCCCCTCAGAGAGGCATAGGGAGCAATGGTCCTGGAAAACCCCTCTGTGGTTGGGGGTTTTCCTTATCTGCCATCAACAAGGGTGAGACACCCAGAAAGGTAGGCATAACAAAACAAACACCACATGATAAGAAAATTTAAACTAAAAACAGAAAAGAGAAGCAGAACTCCCTCCAATCCCAAGGAAATAAGCAATTGTCATACTCCACCGCCGCGTTGCTCGTCCGCGCAGCCCTTCCCACGCTGGCTACCTAGCACTCCAGTTCGGAAGCTAAGCATCAAAGAACGTGAAAACCACTGACTGGAGGGAAGGAGGGTTGCAAAGGAGTCTCTGGGGCTCACCCAGAAAATGGTGTTTCATTACATTCAACACTAGTTTTCTGTGGGGGAGCCCCCATGGCTCCCAGGAGCTACATAACCAAAGACATGAAAAAGAGGGACTTACCTGGGAGGTGACCGCCACTCTCTCCTCAATGCAAAGTCGTGACAACTGGCTGCAACTTGTGACCCAAAGCAACACAGTAATGCCCAGGAGCAGAAACATTAACCAAATAACGAGTGACCAGGACCCTGTTTGACCTCCAAAATCCTCGTGCCTGAATATCAGCCCAGGACATGGTTTGCTGCACTGGCTGCCAAACACGACAGCCAGTGCAGCAAGCTTCCTAACGTCATGGGCACGAGGACAGACTGCAGGCTGGCTAGACTTAATAACTCTGTGGACGACCTGGGAGACCCGAGCCCTGGAACAGGGAACGAGGGAACCTGATCAACCTAAAGCGCATCCCCAGCCACCGAAACCGAAGCGCGCAGATAACAGTGAAGAGCTGCAACCGGACACAACACATGATTCACCCATGTGTTGTGTCCGGAAAGCAGCCGTTTCGTTTTCTGCCAGAAAAGGAGAAGGCTGCAGCCGAACAAACCGACCACCAGGACCGTAAGAGCAGAAACTCCTACGCCGGAGGAGAGCATGAAGCTCACCGAACCGGCCACCAAAGGCCAATGCCAACAGCAACAGTCTTGGAAAACAATCTTAACTGAAGATTACCATAATCCAAGGAGAGGAAAGATAGGAGAGCATCCTGTCTAAGGACCAGGACGGCTCAGGCGGTGCTTGAGCAGGAGCTTGAATGCCTCCATTCCCAACCTGAACAGGGCAGCCCCGAAGTTGCCCGATTCTCATTACCAAATAAACCCTGCTCCAACTCCGAAACCCTCAGACGTTTGGGAGCCAGAAGCAGGGGGAGGAGGAGGTGCAGGATGAACAACAGGGGTAGGACCAGGGAGCGCAGACTGAACCAAAGTCGAAGTGACTAATGCCCCCCAGGTCCGGGTCCTTATAATCAAAGCAGGGCAGCTGCAGGGCATCTAGGTGGGAAACCAACCTAGCAGGTTGCAGCAACCTAAACCTAGCATGCAATGCAGATGCTGCCTGTACCCTAACAGTAATGTCATTAGAATAGTACCGGAGAACCAACAGAGAACACGACTCGCAAGACTCGGGTCAAAGGTATTGATGACAACAGGTAGCATGACTGAGGTAAAAAGAGGTGACTGTCACCCTGAGACAAGGGCACACAGCAACCTTTAAACAACCACAAGGCGGGCTTGAACTCTGAAGACTCATTAGCTAATGAACTGGAGTGCTGGGTAGCCAGTGCAGGGAAGGGAGGGCTACACGGACAAGCGGTGCAGCAGTGGAGTGTGATGTTTGCTCGTTTCCTTGGGATTGGAGGGAGTTCTATCTCTCTTTTCGGGTTTTTATTTGTACTTTTCTTATTGTGTGGGGTTTGTTTTGTTATGCCTACCTTTCTGGGTGCCTCACCCCAGTCGATGGTAGATTAGGAAAAACCCCAACCACAGGGGGTTTTCCCAGGGGCCATTACTCCCTACAACCACTCTGAGGGAGCCAGGTTCTGGCTCATGGTCTCCGGTAGGTCGAACTCCTTAGACTAACGCCCCGGTCTAATATATCACACATTAACCCGATAGCTCCGGGGAGTCGAAGGGGCTTCCCACAGAAAATAGATCAAGAGGGAATGACTATACTGTACTAGAAAAAAGTAAAGTAGCAAGTAATAACCGAAAGAGGACACCAAGCCACCAAAACTATTCAGCCCTGTTTGTGTCACAGGATATACAAGAGCTCCAAAACTCAGGATACCAGTACACAGGGAATATTATCACTGTTACCAGTACAAAGGGAATATTATCACTGTTACCAGTACAAAAGGGAATATTATCACTAAGGATACCAGTACAAAGGGAATATTATCCCTGTTATCAGCACAAAAGGGAATATTATCACTAAGGATACCAGTAGAAAGGGAAAATCACTTGGAATTCCAGTATAAATGGAATGCGACAAACGGCGAGCAATGTCAAAGGCATTGGATTCACCAAGGGGTTTTTACCGAGGGCCGAGTGACTCGGAGGAAAGACTTGTAATCAAAGAACTAGAGAAGAAAATGGAGCAGAGTCAAATGGATGCATCAAGAAATGAAAACATTATTTCCAAATAAGTCAAATGGATCAATACCAAGAAATACACACATAGAAAAGGCTAATCAAAATACAAAATTAATATTATTTGTGAGAGCAAAATGTTCATTCAGCTACGTTGTATGTAATGTGGCAAGGACTGATTATCTATTATAATATGTTCACTTCTATGAATGTTTGCAATAATATTAATATAATACCTTTCACTACTACTACATACTCTACAAATACAAATGACACAACCCCATAAACGTTGGGTTATATGTTTTCAGCCTCATTATTGAAACACATTCTCATGAGTATATATACACAAGGTTTATCACTATTACAGCTACTCTCTAACACACATCATCTTCAATATTTCTCTAGGTAATCTTTGAAAACATCTCAAACATTTTGTCCATAAGCATTAAAAGGTAACTACATATAGAAATTACTGGCTCAACATGGAAAACAATTCAATACTATATACTGTACCTTTAACTATTTTCCAGTTGCAGTTTGTTTCTGATAAACTAAAACTAATGTTTTCATTCAAGGAGACAGTGCCACCACACATGCCTGTTACTCTGCCGATAACTTTCTCTTTCGGATCTTTTGTACTTTGCGTTTCAAATTGTCTCGTCTTCGCGGGATAATGGACATACTGCTTCACGGAGTGTGGTATTCTCATCTCTGGGTCTAATGACGTCTTTGTACATTTACCGGGAAAAACATCCCGGTCATTGGCATCATTTTTACAAGAATTCAATTGGGCTTCATCACCACCACCACCATCATCATCCCACCTCTCCTGTAACATCTGTACGTGCACTGCTCTCCATGCCTCGTGTTTATTCCTCCTTTCAGCTACACCTGTCACTTGGTTATTGACGCAGATTTTTTCCCCCGCTTGAAATTTGGAAGCGTCACAATATATGTCATTATTGATTATAATGTCCGAACCTCGTACAGACGTTATTACGCCTTCAAAGTCACACGTCTCAACTGTGGAGGGAGACACTGATACAAAATCTTCGAGCCTCGGTCTATCTACTTCCTCCCACTTCGAAGGCTGGTCGTCACGGCCCCCAACAAAATAGCCAAAAGCTTTCTGTACCAGCGTGATCATACTGAAGCTTTTTACTAATTTTCATAAATAAATGTGATAAAAATTAGTGATTGTTTTTTAAGCTCTCACTTTCATTATGCTTTCCATAATAAAATTATCATCACATTTTACTATGTTTTTCCTGTTGCTATAAACATTCTTCCCTAATTTTGTTCACTTTGCATGCTAAGTTCAAGCCCAAAATGTTTACATATGAATAAAATTCTTTTTATTGTACACAACAGTCAAGGAAACTGTGTTCAAACTTATCAAACATGATATGCAATCCTAACAATTAGTGCTAAATATTTGCAATTTAGTCCTCACATATATCAATGTTCCAACTCAGAATTTGTCCTAATTTATAGCATGTACATTACAATGAAGAGTAAACACCGAACATTTTCAATTTCCATGTACTGTACTAGAACAACAACGCAACCATCACTGTTGCCCAATGTATTTCTCAACGGGAGAATATTTCCAATTGGTATCGGCTATGTACTCGAGCTGTTTGCGGAGATCCCTCATGCGCTTCTCGTGCTCTTCTTTCTTAAGAGACGACAAGGAAGATTCTACATTGTGATCAAACCAAAGCTTGGCCATAACAGTGGACATGTGGTCTGGACTCTGCAAAGAATAAATCAATTATATTGACAATGAAGAGTCAAAACAAATCACGAAGTTTGAACATAATCCCACAAGTGTAAACAATCACACAAGTGTAAACATTATCCCATGAAGTTAAGTAAGATATTTATTCAGATAAAAGGTACATACATTGAAAATGAGTTACAAACATAATGTCAGATTAATAGAGCTAGTACATACAATGCCTGAAGCCACTAATACGCACAGTGTTTAGGGCAAGGTGTGGGAAAGATACTTAAGACTAAAACTTAATACTAATTAATGAAGTCTAAACATAATTCAATGAAGAGCCTAAATATGATCATATGAAGTCTAAACATAATCACATAATTCTTAACATAAACCTGTGAGACTAAACATAATCCCAAGAGTCTAAACGTGAAGTGCACCTTCAATTCAACGAACTCTACGTGACCAACCCCAATTCAATGCAGCAAGGGATTCGTTGCAATTGGAGATGTCTTCAGGAGATTCCTATTTGTCAACAAAAACTGGGAAATTGTAAAACTAAAACAAACCATAGAATTTGATTTTAAATGTGCTCAATGGCTTTCCCAAGGCCCAACTCTTTCTTCTAATGTTGCATCCATCTACGAAAATCATCAAAAAGGTCATTTGAAGCCATAACAACAGGGGTTACCAATCGCACCCAAATGCTTCCCCCACGCTCTATGGGCTGATTTCACCGAATGAAATTTAATTTCAACCTGTCATATGAAGGAGAGCTACCAAGAGGAAAGTGGGGCCATATTTGTGAACGAAAACTGGGAAATTGCAAAATGAAAACGAACCATAGAATTTGATTTGAGATGTGCTCAGTGACTTTCCCCAGGCCCTAACTGATGCCAATCCTTAACTGTAGCCTCTGTTCACCCCAGCAGTTTTTTTTTGTTTTTTTTTCTACCACAGATGTTGCCACACATTTACAATGCTAACCAGCATATATACATTTTCTTCTGTTCTCCATGGTGAATGGGTACCTGGTTGTTAAACGATTTGGCGGGCCATATTCCAGGACAAAATTAGTATTAAGGACCTGCCCAAAACGCTATGCGTCCTAGTGGCTTTACAAGAATGAAAGAACTCTTGTATATATACCAAAAAAGAAAAAAGAATACAAAAAAAAACCTAATGTAAAAAGAGTTGGGACTAATCGATTAAATAATAATTAAAAACGTGATTTGGAACCATATTAATAAGAGTTAACATTCATACCCTAATGATTCCCATGTTCTATGGTCTGATTTCACTAAGGGAATCTTTAATTTTAATCTGTGATATGATGGGCAACTTTCCCACAAGTCTGTGAACTCTGTCCCAACAGCCTCAGCAAATTCACACATCCTCCTCTTCAGTGAACAAGAGTTCGTGGAATCCAGCGAGTATATTTGGCCTGGAAAGTGTTCATTCCAACTGGAGATTCGCCGAATCGAGGTTCCACTGTAATCCCACGAAGTCTAAACATAATTCCATGAAGAGTAAACAATCCCATTTTGCTCAGGTATAAAATAGTGTTTATCTAAATATTTTTGGGGAATTTCCACAAAAATAATAATTTATTCTGGTGATAATGCAAAATAATGTTTTGACAAAAAACAAATGCAGTACAGAACTTGTCTTTAACCCTTGAACTGCGCAACACATCAATAGCTCTGGTGAGTAACTGTTGCGGAATTGTACACCACGGCTATTGATGTGTTGGAGTACCGCGTAAGATTTAAAAGACCCGCGGCTACACAGGGTTTACATCAGCTTCCTCCGGGCTCTTGTAAACAGACGCCATTTTTTTTTTAAATTGTGGGTAACATTCCCAGGTATGAGAGCCTCAGTACTGAGCCTCAGTACACAGTTAGCTCATGCTGCGTGCACCAGCCACCAAGGCTGGTGCACGCAGCATGAGCTAACAGCACTGCTGTTCAGCTTGTGACCACAGCATCGCCTAAAAATGTCAAAGTATATAGGTAACTGGTATCATTTAGCGATGATAGAGTTACAGAAGACCTCCAACTGTGATAAAAATGACCAGGATTCTGATAATAGCAGGATTGCTGTGATAATTAGCGCTGTACATAGTATGGTGGGAACAGTAATGCTGACGGAGGCAGGGAGGTAACTTCGTCTGCCGACTCTGTGTGGCCACCTGTTATTGTCTAGACTCACCATATCAGCTTAGTGGTTCGCTATGGTGAACACAAATGTAGATACTTATATATAATGTGAGTATAGAGTGTAATAACAGCACAAACAATATAGTGGGAGGAGGAATCTTAATGACGGAGGGGAGGCAGCGTCAGCTGTGTGTGGCGTCCTCTGTTGCTGTCTGAACTCACCATACCAGCTTAGTTGTACAGTTATGGTGAACAAAACTTGTAGATACTTATATATAACATCTGTATATAGTGAATAAAAGCAAAAACAGTTTAGTGGGAGGAGGAATGTTGGTGAGTGAGGTGAGGGAGGGAATGAAGTGGCATTGACTGGTTGGTGTGTGGCGGCCACTCTTCATTGCTTTTTGACTTGCCATACCAACTTAGTGGTTCGTTATGGTGAACAAAACATCCAGATACTTATATATAACTTATACTTATTGTTATATTATTGATACTTATTGTTTTATGAACATAATAGGGCACAGTAGGGCCTCGATTATAATTTTAATCCATTTCCAGAGACGGATCGTAAGTCGAAATATCTTAAGTCAAAACTAATTTTCCCATGAGAAATAATAGGAATTGAATTAATCCGTTCCACAACCCCAAAAATATTAACTTAAAAATACATTTTATACTGAATAAAAAAAAATTCTGTAGCTACAATACAGTACATATGTTTATCTTATTTTCATCAAGGACTTTTGTTGGCATATGGAAGATGGTGAGGAGGGGGGGGGGGGAGGTGGTGGTGTTAGTGTTTGGAAGGAGAGTCTGCTTCCATTATAACATCAGGCAGTGATGACTTCTCTGGGGTACTCTCTCTCCTATGTTTTGCCTGCATACCACTAGGACCTGGTTGTGGTTCCCTGCTTGTTTGTCTCACTAAAAATTTGTCCATGGAGATTTGTTTTTCCCTTCGTTTTAATATTTGTCTGTAGTGATGCATCACAGTGTCATTGAAAAGGTTAAGGCAACAGCATACTGCGGCTTGATTTGGACGAGTTGTTTTAGCAAAAGTTTGCAGTTCTTCCCATGCTGCACATTTTCTTAATTTTTGATGAAGGGACATTCTGTACTGCCTCCTCCTTCCCTGAAGAAATTTCCTAAGCTGCCTTTCGTTGCTGCTCATTGTGAAGAGCTAGGAGTACTTCGGTTGTCAGTTCTTCGCCGTGTTCCTCCAGCAACTCCTCAATATCAGCACCATCCAACTCCAAGCCCAATTGTCGGCCCAAAGAAACTATTTCCTTAACAACGGCACTGCAGGTTCAGGCTCATACCCCTCAAAGTCTAGTTCTGGAACACATTCAGGCCACAATTTTCTCCAGCCAGAGATCATGGTTCTTAGAGTCACTTCTTGCCAGGCTTTGTCTATGAGTTTTAAAGCACTTCAAATGTTTAAATGATTTTTCCAGAACTCTTTGAGGGCGAGGTTTGTGGCATCCGTCACTTCGACACATCTCCGGAATGGTCATCCTCACACGTGTTTTCATATGTTGAACCTTACCACTGACTTTCCTGACCAATGGTGTGATATACACTAATAATAATAATTACTTTTATGTTCAAAAAACAAAAAATCACCAAAATAATGGAATTTATTACAAGCATGATCGTCACTAAGTGGGCGGTTCTGGTAAACTGAGGCAGGTCGGCTCGTGCCACCAGGAACCACGCGCTCGGTCGACCCGAACGCGTATCAACGAATATCGTTGTTAGTCGACAATACGATCTTAAATTGAGTCACATTTTCTGACCAAATTTACATCGTAACTCAAAAAATCATAAGTCGGGGCAATCGTAAGTCGAGGTGTCGCTGTAATTGAATCACTAATATGCACACCATAATTTTGAGTATGGCGATGATTCACACATTTTATTACATAAATATGTATATCACACTACACACTATTGAATAATATTACTGCAAAAACTAAGAAAAAATCAGACATTGAAATAATTAGGTAATAATATCTTTGTGGCAACTCTCACCTGACAGCTCAGGCAGAACTGACCGCCTCTGATGATTGCTCTGTCAAAGCCTCAATTTTGCCAGACTTCCTCACCCTATTGGGGCCAAAATATGTCACCTACGATTTGTTTTTCCGTGATCAGGGAACACAAATGAACATTTTTATAAGCGGAAAACTTTTTTTTTTATTTATTTTATTTTTTGCGCCTGAGCGTGTAGCAGGCAATGACCACAAGAGCAGGCCAGGGGTTAAACAATGTTTTTGTCATAAAATATTATTTATTTTTAATTATACTATGTTCATTACTTAAAAATTACAAATGCTTGTATACCAACCCATCCTTTTACACAGTACATCATATTTTGCCATAAATCCCCTAAGGACAAAAATTGATGTACTGTACTAAAAATCATACCAGCTCAGAAAATTGGCGTGATGTTCCATTTTCTATTCTTGGGTCCTCGGATAGATTCAGGCAAGTTACTACATCAGTTTAGTGATGTTATAAACACTCGAGAGGGCAGGCTGCTCGCACAACTGATCACCTGCTTAAATTGACTTGAATTTACCTGAGGGGCCACTATGTCTTTGCCCGAAACGCTATGCGTACTAGTGGCTTTAGGTATTGTATGTCTACATCCTCTATCTTTAAATCTAACAGAATGTTTGTACTGTAACGCTGCAACTATGTATGTACTGTTCCTAAATAAATTATTATTAATTATTATTATTATTATTATTATTATTATTATTATTATTATTATTATTATTGTCTCTAGTGGCCTTAATAAGAACAGGAAGCAGGTGGCTTGCCAATGGCCCCCCCCCCCATTTGACATGATGGTTTTATCATGCTGAATCTTTAAATACTGCAGTGTTTTGGCATTTACAGCTTCAACAGGTAGGCAGTTCAATGGGTTTATAACCCTGTGGGTGAAAAAGCATTTCCTGCTTTCTATCTGAGGTTCAAACTATTGCTCCTTCTTTGTGTTCCATTTGACCTTTTTAATAGCTGCGCAGCCCGAGGGTTAATGTGATTTCATTGTGCGTTAATATTATTATTATTATTATTTTTGAAACCAAGTCCTTCAGGATGAGGCAAAAGCCTGCTCACTTGATCTCGGTAACCTCTCACCCTGTCATCCTATCTGCCAGAGAGGAACTTTAAAGAATGAAGCCAAAACATGCATAAAAATCATTAATAGTTACCCCTGGTGTGCCTCTCCCGCGTGCACTCTCGTCCGAGTTGAATGTCACCGCTCCTAGTGTAGGCTGAGACTGCGAAGGTTGTGGCTGCTGAGGGTGGTGGATGTGGCCGCTACTTGCCTGCTGACGAGAAAACAACTAATTCAGAATCAATTCATATCCATATATCATGCTTGTTTCCTATGCTTATGTTCACTCAATATTAACATGCCTAGACCACCAAAAATCAAGAGCGTCTATTTATTTTAAATGCTATAAAAAGAGTCACAAAGTGTCAAAGTGCCTGGGTCATCTTTCCTGGCAATAACAGCATAGACACCAAAGCCCAATTTCTCAAAGGTTTTCAGATCCTTCTTCGGGTGTATTGTTTCAGTAGAAAATGTGTGACTGCCCTCAGAGAGATGTTCTACCTTCCAAGGAGGAAGCTAGGAGAGCTACTTAATGGACTTGCCATGGAATAAAGTGCCAAGATAAAAGAAATGCCCCTTTCTGGGTAGATGTTTAGTATCTTTAGCCACTAGCTGTCCAGTGCCACCACATACATTTCTATTTACCACGGGTGAAATGCGAACAAGGGGACACGGATGGAAACTTGGTACCCAAACGAGCCACAGAAACATTAGAAAGAATGTTTTCAGTGTCAGTAGTTAACAAATGGAATACATTAATCAGTGATGTGGTGGAGATAGATTTCATACACAGTTTCAAAAATAGATTCGATAGTCCAATAGGCTCAAGAATCTGTACACCAGTTGATAGGCAAGACCAGAAAGTCAAAGCTCAACCAGGCGAGTACAACTAGGCCAGTACAGCACACGCCAGGCTGGTGTAACAAACTGTACCCACCATCAACAATTGCCACGTCACTCCAACTTGCCTCCTTCGCAGAGAGGAAAGCCAATGGGGATTAAAGATCAATCCACAACCGAGGTCAACTGCTCTTAAAATTACAAACACAAAATTAATTTCCTGAGGATTTGTTTCAATAAGCTAACTAAGAAACAAAGCTCTGAAGATACTTGCCTCCCCACCACAAACAACTCCCCAGCTTGCCTCAGGGCTCTAGCAAGCCCGCCCCCACCTTCACATTGAGTTATAAGCCCGTTCTCTCCATTTGCCATTCCGTAAAAAATGCAACTCCTTTGCCCAATAAGAAATGTAAACATGAGCAACTCGCCTAATCTATTGAGGCCAAGGCAGAGAAAATATCAATACAGTATGATCCTATAATTTTGAATTGATACATCATAATTTTAACAGATTGGTAAATTGGGTAAAAATGCTACGTATTTGGTAAGACGACGAACTGGAGAAACACGAGGGAAGAAAAGGATAGCAATGGGAAGCTACAAAGGAGCTACCCACAAATGGACATTGCATTACAATTTAACACTATTTCTAGGAGAGTCCCTTCAGTAGTAATTCCAGCTTCCTCATAATAGAACCTCATCGAAATTTTAATTTTCGTAATAAATTTTCCCATATATGGTAAATCTGAATTTAACCAAGGGCAACCAATACTGGTGACCTCGACAAGATCAGGAAGCCGGTGGCTTGTCAAAGGTCCCCCATTTGCCATGATGTCCTCATCTAAATTTATTTTGTCCATGTAAGGTTTACCAGAAAAGTAAGCATTGTGCAGACAAGAGGATCTACCATTTACACACACACAACAAAAAAATTCCCCGAGTGCAATGTATTGGTGATAAAGCATTAGATGATAATCACGAACAAGAGGACACAGATTCAAGCTAAGGAAACAAAGGCGACGAAAAAAAATTAAAAAGTTTTCTTTTGCAAACAAAGTGGCAGACGGTTGGAACATGCCAAGTGAAGGGGGTGGTGGTGGAGGCCAAAAGCATCAGTACTAGTACAGTAGTTTCAACTCATTATATGACAAAGAGTATTGGTTAGATGGAACACCACAAACGTAGCTCTCATCTTGTAATTACACTTAGGTAATCACCATGCGTGATGGAGACTTACCACGGCGTGGTGGAGACTTACCACGGCGTGGTGGAGACTTACCACGGCGTGGCGGAGACTTACCACGGCGTGGCGGAGACTTACCACGGCGTGGCGGAGACTTACCACGGCGTGGCGGAGACTTACCACGGCGTGGCAGAGACTTACCACGGCGTGGCGGAGACTTACCACGGCGTGGCGGAGACTTACCACGGCGTGGCGGAGACTTACCACGGCGTGGCGGAGACTTACCACGGCGTGGCGGAGACTTACCACGGCGTGATGGAGACTTACCACGGCGTGATGGAGACTTACCACGGCGTGATGGAGACTTACCACGGCGTGATGGAGACTTACCACGGCGTGATGGAGACTTACCACGGCGTGATGGAGACTTACCACGGCGTGATGGAGACTTACCACAGTGATGGAGACTTACCACAGTGATGGAGACTTACCACGGCGTGGTGGAGACTTACCACGGCGTGGTGGAGACTTACCACGGCGTGGTGGAGACTTACCACGGCGTGGTGGAGACTTACCACGGCGTGGTGGAGACTTACCACGGCGTGGTGGAGACTTACCACGGCGTGGTGGAGACTTACCACGGCGTGATGGAGACTTACCACGGCGTGATGGAGACTTACCACGGCGTGATGGAGACTTACCACGGCGTGATGGAGACTTACCACGGCGTGATGGAGACTTACCACGGCGTGATGGAGACTTACCACGGCGTGATGGAGACTTACCACGGCGTGATGGAGACTTACCACGGCGTGATGGAGACTTACCACAGTGATGGAGACTTACCACAGTGATGGAGACTTACCACAGTGATGGAGACTTACCACGGCGTGATGGAGACTTACCACGGCGTGATGGAGACTTACCACGGCGTGATGGAGACTTACCACGGCGTGATGGAGACTTACCACAGCGTGATGGAGACTTACCACGGCGTGATGGAGACTTACCACGGCGTGATGGAGACTTACCACGGCGTGATGGAGACTTACCACGGCGTGATGGAGACTTACCACGGCGTGATGGAGACTTACCACGGCGTGATGGAGACTTACCACGGCGTGATGGAGACTTACCACGGCGTGATGGAGACTTACCACGGCGTGATGGAGACTTACCACGGCGTGATGGAGACTTACCACGGCGTGATGGAGACTTACCACGGCGTGATGGAGACTTACCACGGCGTGATGGAGACTTACCACGGCGTGATGGAGACTTACCACAGCGTGATGGAGACTTACCACAGCGTGATGGAGACTTACCACAGTGATGGAGACTAACCACAGTGATGGAGACTTACCACAGTGATGGAGACTTACCACAGTGATGGAGACTTACCACAGTGATGGAGACTTACCACAGTGATGGAGACTTACCACAGTGATGGAGACTTACCACAGTGATGGAGACTTACCACAGTGATGGAGACTTACCACAGTGATGGAGACTTACCACAGTGATGGAGACTTACCACAGTGATGGAGACTTACCACAGTGATGGAGACTTACCACGGCGTGATGGAGACTTACCACGGCGTGATGGAGACTTACCACGGCGTGATGGAGACTTACCACGGCGTGATGGAGACTTACCACGGCGTGATGGAGACTTACCACGGCGTGGTGGAGACTTACCATGGCGTGGTGGAGACTTACCACGGCGTGGTGGAGACTTACAACGGCGGGGTGGAGACTTACCACGGCGTGGTGGAGTCTTACCACGGCGTGGTGGAGACTTACCACAGTGATGGAGACTTACCACGGCGTGGTGGAGACTTACCACAGTGATGGAGACTTACCACGGCGTGGTGGAGACTTACCACACTGCTTTGCTGCGGTAGATGGCCAGTTGAATGATGATGGTGTTGCTGCTGATGCTGCTGCTGCTGGTTGCCAATGTTACTGTTGCCACCGAGGCTGTTGGTGTTGCTTGTGTTGCCGTGTAATGCTCCGCGGAAGAGAGATGCCCCCAAGCCACTCGTGTTCCCACTAGCCATGATATCCTACCTCTTCAATGTGGATATTTAACCTAACAATAACAGAACAAAATTTTTATGTCATTTTATTTAAACTTATCATTTTGTAAATATTCTAATTGCAGACTATATAATAAAAGTATATAAAAAGCCTATTGAAAGGAAAAAAATTCTGAGAATTATTTTTTTCTTCTAATTTGTTTGTCAGATTTTGTAAAAAGTTTTCACATTCTAAATACAGTACTAGGAAATAATTATTAAACAAATTATATATTTGAAACAAATCATTTACTGTCAATTTTAAGGCTTCTCTCCTGCCCTCCTCATTTATTCCATTTAAATAAATTCTCGTACATTCAATCCCATATATACTGTATTCCCCTGCCGAAGTAACCTCCATTACATGCCTTGGGATGACATCTGGTTCTGTTGCCAACAGATGGCAACATTTACGACATTAAGGCACCAGTCTTTAAGACAAGGCGACTCGGTCAAACATCACACGATTCAGAATCCATTTTCCTGGCGATCTGGACAGAAATCCATTATGACAATGAATGCAGATTTCTCTTCACACGACTGCAACAGCCCCTAAAGCCCCAAAGCCCCAAAAGTGTTGAAACCTCTCACTAACAGAGCATATCTTCACTGCGTGTGATCCAAAGCATCACCATGCAGAATCATCACATGATGATACCACAAATGTACAATCATCACAGGATGATACTACTGTACCATGCAGGATGGTCGAACCATAATGAAATCTGACCCAAGCAGCAAATGGGTCAATCCATGTGTTGCCTTTGCATAATTGTCGCGCAAGTTAAAATCGGCGAATGCCAATTTTAAAGTTTAAAATTTGCCCATAGATATGAAGTCCCCATAGCACAGTGGTAAAACACTGACCTGACCTAACCTGACATGACCTAACGTTAAAAAATTTGGATTTTTGGTTTAATAAGTTATCAAGATGTTTTCAACAATATTCTCGGGGCGTTCACCGATTTTAACTTGGGCGACCATTGTGCAAACGCAACACATGGGTTGACCCAATTGACAATCTGGTCAGATTCTATCAAGAGTTCGAACAAGGAATTTACCATCTACTTTGTTACTAATTTGGGTATTGTTTACTCTTAGATTAATTTGATCTGAGGATTTATTACTAAACAGAATATAGAAAGTTTTGTCAATGTTAAGGGTGAGTTTGTTGGCAGTTAGCCAGAGATGGACTTTATTTAGCTCAGTATTTACTGTGGCATTTAGAGCAAGGGGGTCAGGACTGGAGTAAATGAAGGTTGTGTCGTCAGCAAATAGAATTGGTTTGAGGTGTTGGGAGGCATTTGGAAGGTCATTAATGTAGATGAGAATGAGGAGAGGGCCAAGTATGCTGCCCTGAGGGACACCAATGTTGATGGGTAGGGTGGGAGAAATTGAATTATTCACAGAAACATACTGGAGCCTGTCAGTAAGGTAAGACTGAAGGTATTGCAGGGAGTGTCCTCTGACTCCATAATGATGTAATTTAAGAAGAAGGTTTTGGTGGTCGACAGTGTCAAAAGCCTTACGCAGGTCTACATTTTTTTTTTTGGAGATATATACAAGAGTTGTTACATTCTTGTAGAGCCACTAGCACGCGTAGCGTTTCGGGCAGGTCCCTGGAATACGATCCCCTGCCGCGAAGAATCGTTGTTACAACCAAGTACACATTTTACTGTTGCGTTAAACAGAGGCTACAGTTAAGGAATTGCGCCCAGTAAATCCTCCCCGGCCAGGATACGAACCCATGACATAGCGCTCGCGGAACGCCAGGCGAGTGTCTTACCACTACACCACGGAGACTAAACCCAACAGGGAACTCATTTTTATCAAGAGCTGCATGAATCAAGTTAATCATACTAATAAGTGCATCGTTAGTGCTTTTATTGGGTGTGAAGCCATATTAACAAGAGCTAAGTATATTGTGTTTGGCTAGACGAGAGTAAAGCTGCTTGTAGGTTAGTTTTTCAAATATTTTTGACGAAGTTCAACATAAATATATTCCAAGCGTGGCTGGAGGGCTTCCCGGACACTTGAGGGACACTTCGTTATAAGTGGATACATACCAGCGGCGTGTGGAGGAGGTGAGGGACGTGTCACGCGACACCTGTGTCACCTGTCACGGTGTGTCATGGCTCAGCGGACACTGTCACGCCACCAGCGGCAGGTGCGTCACCTCGTATACGGCGCAGAGGTTCAAAAAGAGCCCCAGAATCGAATCTCTGACGTCATAGTGACGTCACATTCATCATAAAATACATAATAAAACAACACAAAATCTTATATTCTCGTTAGATTAAGTTAGTTATACTTACATCATGATAGAATAAGTTAGGTTAGGATAAATTAGGTTAAGTAAAGGTAAGATAGAGTTATTTCAACAGTTGCGATGACGTATAAAATGTTTGTTTTTAACCATTTATGAACTCTTACAGCGGTTGTTCTCCAGTGATTGTACACATTATTCGTACTTTTCGTATGTTGACAATTTTACCTGAATTTACCTGAGTCACTATTGCTCTCTCCAGTAGCCTCGATGGGAAAGGAAGACGACGGCTTGTCAAAGGTCTCCCAGTGTCTCATGATTTTATGTCATGATATGCCAATATGATTTTATACCCATAAGATGATTAAATTAATTATTATTTTTCATATATTGAACATATATTGTCACCTGCCCTGGTGACTCTCTATTACTCCCTCATCTATCCATATCTCAACTATGGTATTTGTGCTTGGGGTTCTACTACCTAAAATCATTTACGTCCTCTAATTACTCAACACAAAGCTGCTATTAGGACAATATCCAACTCTGGCCCCAGGCATCACTCGGTACCCTTACTCAAATCTCTGAATATGTTAGACATTAAGTCACTGCACATTCTCTCATGTGTATTATACATATATAAAACGCTAAACTGTAATGCCAATCCTGACCTCAAAAGTTTCATAGAAGGTTGTAACAGAACCCATGAGCACCACACCAGAAATAAATACAGTTTTGATATTCCTAGAGTACGACTTAATCAAACTAGAAATGCTCTACAAATCAAGGGACCCAGAATGTGGAATGACCTTCCCAACCATGTTAAAGACTGTACCTCTCTCAACCAGTTTAAGATAAAAACGAAGCTATACCTAATAAATTCCCTGTAACCTACCTTACCCCTCTGTTGTCAACCAATGTCTGTTTTTTTTAAAGAGCGCTGTTTGTCGACAGAATTGTATTTGTGCTGCTTTTTCAGCCATGTTTTCATTTTTTGTTTTCATTCTACTCTTTATGGTCAATTAGTATTAAGCTTTAGTCATTTAAGTTTTTCATGCCCGAAACGCTTTGCGTAATATGCTTTAGGCATTGTATGTACTAGCTCTATCTATAAGTCAACCAATCTTTGTAAAAATTTCTTGTATGTATGTACCTTACCTAAATAAACATTTTATTTTATTTTATTTTTTATTTATTTATTTTATATTCACATTTAAATATGTGAAGCAATCAAAATACTGTATTATTAGTGATAATAATTGTAGATGCAAGATTGAATGCAGCTGCTGCATCCTCGGACAGGAACCGAGGATGCAGAAGATGTTCCCCCTCTGGATCGCCACACTGAGGCGCTGAAACAAAAAAAAATGGCAGCTCTTGGGTCTCTGGTGACGTCAATGAGCTTGGAGCCCAATTCCTTGAGAAATCCCAAGGCACTCTTACCCCAGGGGGCCATGTGTCTCAGATGTTATGGGAACAAAAGTGTATATTGACCTTCCAATCGCCTGTACTTACCTAGTTGTGCTTGCGGAGGTTGAGCTCTGGCTCTTTGGTCTCGCCTCTCAACTGTCAATCAACTGATGTACAGGTTTTTGAACCTACTGGGCTCTATCATATCTACACTTAGGTATCTATATGTATCTAAGTCATATTACTTTACCATTGTAATCTTAGATATCATCTGATATCATGGTTGTTGTATTGAGTGCATATTCTATTGCATTGTTCCTTGTATCCTCATATTGTGCTTCAGTGAAATAATGTATAACCCTGAAATGTTATCCTAATTTGTACCTAGTAATCCTTGTTCATTATTGTGTATTGTTATTATTGTGTATTAGGAGCAAGTATTGGCAGGAGTTTGCAGAGAAAGTTGGGAGTAACAGAAACTTGAAAGAAATCTGGCAAGACGTAAATAAAATAAGGGGTAAAAAGCATAATTTTGTTGCACATCCTGACCCGCAAGGAATTGCAAATGGTCTCGTAAATAAATGGGCGGAAGCTGCCAAACTTAGTTCATTACCCGCTGTAACGAGAGAGTCATTAGATTCTTGGAAAGATCTAAGAAAGGACTTTATACTTACAGCAGGTAACAGTGGTGATGTCACTTGCACAGGTATTACCAGAGAAGAACTAATAACGGCGATTAAAGTTGGGAAATCTACCGCCCCTGGGGAGGATGGAGTAACTTATGAAATACTTAATGAACTTGCCATTATGACGAAAAGCCCACTTTTAGACCTCTTTAATATTAGTTATAAAGAGGGCAGTATTCCCAGTAAATTAATTAATTAATTAATTTATTTATTTATATACAAGAAGGTACATTGGGTTAGAGAGAATACATAGCATAGTACAGTAATTGCACTCTTGTAAAGCCACTAGTACGCGCAGCGTTTCGGGCAGGTCCTTAATCTAACAGATAATTTTAAGTAGGTAAATTCTAGCAGAATTAATAAAATGATAACAAATACATTGCAAGAAAAAAAATGAGATGAGAGAGATTAGTAAGTATATTAAAGCACATTGGTATAATAAAGCTCTGATTGATTACATTGACAACTTGATTGGTAATTTAAACAAGAATAATAGACACTATACAGCAGATTGACAGCACATATAAGAAGACAGCAATGATCACAATGGTAAAGATGTTCAGATTGGGTACATAAAGATTGGGAGATTGGGTAGCAATAGATTCAGAGCAATTTTAAAGGAAAAGGTAAAAAAACTATGAAGATGAAATTAGGTATTTTTTAGTATTGTTTTTGAATGATGCAAAAGTTGGACAGCTTTTCAATTCAATAGGGAGTGAGTTCCATAGACTGGGTCCCTTTATTTGCATTGAGTGTTTACACAGATTAAGTTTGACTCTGGGGATATCAAAGTGGATGGGAAAAAGCTATGATCATCCCTATCCCTAAAGCCAATGGAGAGTACAGACCTGTGTCTTTAACCTCGTGTTTTTGTAAAATGATGGAGAGGATCATTTTAAATAGACTTTTATATATAATAGGTGATCAGCTGTCTAGTAATTTGTTCGGGTTCCTCAAAGGAAAAAGTACCTCTGATTATATTATTAAATGTCTAGCTAATGATAATGATTATTATAGAATTTTTATTGATTTACAAGGAGCTTTTGATAAAGCCAACAAAGAGGTTATTTTATATGAATTAGCTGGTCTTGGCGTTAAAGGGAGATTATTGCGCTGGATAGGGGATAATCTTCACGAAAGGAAGGCTCAGGTGTGGTATCAAGGTTGTGTGTCAGGTGTGAGATCAAGTTCAAGTATGTTTATTGAGATAAGCAATAAATACATCTCAAAGGGATAGAGTAGCTTAGGCTATTTCTACCCAACCAAGTCTAGTGCCCTTCAGGAGATTACCAACTCTTATTTACAAAAAAGTCTCCAGATCTTTAGCTCCTGCTATTGCATTGATCTTCAACAAGTCACTTGAACTCCAAACCTTTCCAGATATTCTAAAAAAAAGTGAGAGTAACCCCTGTCCTGCCCGAAACACTGCGTAATAGTGGCTTTAGGCATTGTATGTACTAGCTCTATCTATAACTCCATCAACTTTGTATCACACCTTGTATGTATGTACTTTACCTGAATAAACATTTGTATTTGGGCAAAATATGACTCATCGCCGTTTTCAGCAATTGGCAAATTTTCGGTATAAAAAGTTGTAATTTGATAATGAAAATAGGAGCAGAGAGCCAGAACTCGGCTCAAAAGTCACGCTGAGACTCTGGTACTGTTGATGACTGGTACTGTTGATGACTGGTACTGTTGATGACTGAGAGTGTTGATGACTGGTACTGTTGATGACTGGTACTGTTGATGACTGGTACTGTTGATGACTGAGAGTGTTGATGACTGGTACTGTTGATGACTGAGACTGTTGATGACTGGTACTGTTGATGACTGGTACTGTTGATGACTGGTACTGTTGATGACTGGTACTGTTGATGACTGGTACTGTTGATGACTGAGACTGTTGATGACTGAGACTGTTGATGACTGGTACTGTTGATGACTGAGACTGTTGATGACTGAGACTGTTGATGACTGAGACTGTTGATGACTGGTACTGTTGATGACTGAGACTGTTGATGACTGGTACTGTTGATGACTGAGACTGTTGATGACTGAGACTGTTGTTGATGACTGGTACTGTTGATGACTGGTAATGTTGATGACTGGTACTGTTGATGACTGGTACTGTTGATGACTGAGACTGTTGATGACTGGTAATGTTGATGACTGAGACTGTTGATGACTGAGACTGTTGATGACTGGTAATGTTGATGACTGAGACTGTTGATGACTGAGACTGTTGATGACTGAGACTGTTGATGACTGAGACTGTTGATGACTGGTACTGTTGATGACTGAGACTGTTGATGACTGGTACTGTTGATGACTGAGACTGTTGATGACTGAGACTGTTGATGACTGGTACTGTTGATGACTGAGACTGTTGATGACTGAGACTGTTGATGACTGAGACTGTTGATGACTGGTACTGTTGATGAATGGTACTGTTGATGACTGAGACTGTTGATGACTGAGACTGTTGATGACTGGTACTGTTGATGACTGAGACTGTTGATGACTGAGACTGTTGATGACTGAGACTGTTGATGACTGAGACTGTTGATGACTGAGACTGTTGATGACTGGTACTGTTGATGACTGAGACTGTTGATGACTGGTACTGTTGATGACTGGTAATGTTGATGACTGAGACTGTTGATGACTGGTACTGTTGATGACTGAGACTGTTGATGACTGGTACTGTTGATGACTGGTAATGTTGATGACTGAGACTGTTGATGACTGAGACTGTTGATGACTGGTACTGTTGATGACTGGTACTGTTGATGACTGAGACTGTTGATGACTGGTACTGTTGAT